ACCGATATAAAACTTGTGAAATGGTGTCCCTAAATGCAAGAACATTGTAAAACTACTAAAAAACAATTTAAAGCTTGTGGAATGGTGTCCTTAAGTGCAAGAATATTGTAAAACTTAAAAACCGATTTGAATCTGGCGGAATATTGTCCGTAAATGCATGAACATTGTAAAACCGCCGAAACCCGATTTAAAGGTTGTTAAATGGTTTCCTTAAGTGCAGGATTATTGTGAAACCGTAAAAAAAATGATAAAAAACTTGTGGAATTGTGTCCTAAGTGCAAAAACATTGTAAATCTAATTCGTGCAAAAACAGTAAAAAAAGTTCAAAAAACACTAAAAACCTTACCAAAACGTACAAAAACGGTGCAAAACCGTCAAAAACTAATAAAAAACCTTGTCAAAACTTGCAAAAACGGTGGAAAACCTTAAACAAACACTTGAAACTTCGCCAAAACGTGCAATAACAGTGAAAATCCGTCGAAATACACTTGAAACTTTGCCAAAACGAGCAATAACAGTGTTTTTTGACATTATTGAACTGTTTTTGCACGTTTAAGAAAGGTTTCTGAGAGTTGTTCGACGGTTTTAATCGTTTTTGCACGTTTTGGCGAGGTTACTAATGTTTTAAGGTTTTTCACTGTTTTTTCCACGTTTTCCAGAATTTTGACAGATTTTCAGTGCTCTTGCAAGGTTTTAGGATTTTTTTCTCTGTTTTCGCATGGTTTTTGTAACATTTTCAGGAGTTTATGAATGTTTTTGCAAGGTTTCAAATTGTTTTTATTGGGTTATTACGGGTTTTCACTGTTTCTTCACGTTATTTGTGTTTTTGCAGGATTTTGACGGTATTTCACTGGTTTTGCACTATTTTGGAAGGTTTTCGTTGGTTTGTTAATGTTTTTCATCATATTTGTCAAAATTTTGTTGAATTTTGACGGGTTTTTAATGTTTTTGAAGGTTTTAGTGGTTTCCACGGCTTTTAACTTTTTTTGCAAGGTTCTAGATGTATTTTCACAGATTTTCAATGATTTTGCACGTTTTTGTAAGGTTTTGACGGTTTTCTATGATTTGGCACTTTTTTGGAAGGTTTTTGTTGGTTTTTCAATGTTTTTCATTGTATTTACCAAAATTTTTGTTGAATTTTGACGGGTTTTTAATGTTTTTGAAGGTTTTTCACTGTTTTTTTGCAAGGTGTTTGGTGGTTTCCACGGTTTTTAATTTTTTCTGCAATGTCTTAGATGTTTTTCCGTAGATTTTCAATGATTTTGCACGTTTTTGTAAGGTTTTGACGGTTTTCACTATTTTTGCAAGGTGGTTTTCGAAGTTTTATACTGTTTTTTCAAGGTTTTTGGTGATTTTTGATGATTCTTCGCTGTTTTTGCAATATTGATGGTAGATTTGATGGTAGACAGTTAGATTTGTAGCGTTTAAGACAAAACGCCATATTGCGGGACAAAGATTTTTATCATTTCCTCATCTATTAAAACCATTTTCTGCCCATTTTAAACGGGGATTTTTCACCATTACACTGTTGAGTCTTGGACATCACGTTTTTGTATCTTACTACTTGCAATAGATGCTCCGCGTTTCGTTTATAAAAATGGCCGGTGTTTTCTAGATGTCCAGCACATGTCCATTCGAAAAACACAAATAGGGCAAACTTATACGATCTTAAGTTGAAGGGCATTGATTTATCATTCATATGAAGTTTATATTGACAAGAGGAACATACTTGGTATTCAAGAAATACAAGAAGTACGAAACGTTATTTCTTCTGGTGGTGCGTCGATTTAGAACAACGGAGAATGTATTTAGGGTTGTCACTTTTGGAACTTAAAATAGAATCAATAACGTTTTTATCGTCAGTCTGAATGAAAGGTTTTAATTAAAATACCAGCAAAACATGATTTTAAAAACTCAAAAAAAGTTTCATATTGTATCGTCTGCATTTTAATAGTCAACTACAGCAACACTTCTAACACCATGTTCGTGTTATTTAGACCTACATGCATTTTAAACAGATTTTCAGTGTGGCAAGTTTCAACAAATATAATCTTAGTTTGAAAATTACCAATGGATTCTGCTCGTTTCAGTTTTATTTTTTGTTTAATCCTAGAGACATGTACAGGATTATGCAAAGTCAGAACAATGGTTCACTCAAATAGTAAAGACAGTAGCCTACATTGAAAACATAGATTATTGTGTATTATAAATGCAAATGAACAGGTTCTGTCTTTTGATTGTTTTTTATCAAACGCTGTGTCCGTGATTACTTGATCATTTTCAAATCACAAACAGGAAGTATTCAAACTTTACCAACACACAAGATTTACTGTTTTCATTATTCTGCAGTACCTTATAGATATATACTGTGACCATTCTATCTTGTCCTTCCTTTTTTGCAATACTATAAGGCGTGCTATTATATCAAGCTTGATGAGTGAATTGATAGAGTATCAAGAACGGCATGTGATCAAATCTTGATTGTTCATCGAAGTACCACGTTTTTTCATTAAGTACAAGTCTGGGACCAGAATGATGCACGACGGCTAATGGCCAGAAATGAATTCTTGCGATCAACTTGTTTTCTCATAATTCAGCAAACCTGACTTGAATCCAATTTACAACGAGGATGAGTATTTTGTCAAAATTACCGCATTTCTAGATATGAATGTGACTTGAATGGTTTCGACTGACATTATCTACCTGAGGAGTATGAACGTCTCAATATGTAGATTCTCTATTATTTATATTAATATTGACTGACACCGAACACCTTTGTCCACTTGACCCAAATCGGTTATTTCCCGTCTGTTCTTTATGCAGATGTACTACCGTCATTTTTACCAACAGTTAAACTCAAAGACACTAACTAACATTGATTTGGCCTGTCTAAATTATAATTCGAATTTTGTTATTTTGGCCTGTAGGCTATACACTTCTTTTTAAAGTCATTTTTTAGTCGAGTTCATTTACCCAAACTTTGATTGTATAGTCGAGTTTTGAAAAATTTTCGACCAATGACATACTACTCTTTCTTTGACAAATCACAAGATCGAGAAGATATGCATTTTCCTGTTTTCGTAGTTCAGTGAGTTATTTTTGATTAATCTGTAGTTTAGCACTTTTTGCTTTCTGATTGTAAATTGTTGGATTAAAATGCCTTGGGTTTACCACCGTAGTCGAGTTTCCAATTACTCAAAATTTGAATACGGCTTCGAGTTGACCAATGACATACTACATATATTTACGTTATGCGAATAACCTTATCCTGGAAATATAGGAATTTGGTCTCTCGCAAATGGAGATACTGTTTTAGTCGTGAATCTTAGCAATGAGATTTCTAGATTTTATATTTCAAACAAAACAAAGTGAAATAGCTACCTATCTTGTTCATTCGACTGCCCATGTATAGTGCATTCATCTTAACAAAATTATGGCATTTCTTCGATACAGTCCTCAATATTTTACAATTCAATTTTTTGGGTATACGTTATACGATACGATTTTTAAACATTATGTTCCGCAAACTCTCCATATTATTTTCGAAAAAATGAGAAAAGTGTTTAATGCATGACATTTTTAAAAATTTATTTGATAGAGCAAAATTTTATTCTTTAAGTCAATTTACAAAAAAACACATTTTCATGCGCGTGCTATAACTATGGAACCAACGATAGACTTTCGTTGCAAACAACACGTAAAATCTAAAACGATATATGGATCGAACTCCATTTTTACCAATCTTTAAAACAGCGAGTTTCCAATTTTTTCGAACTACAAAATATTGGAAATCAGCGCGACAAAATTGGAACATTATTGGACATAGTGAGTACCTACTTGGCAGTATTGTTTGAAAAAAAGTACTTAGGTATTTTATATGAATATGTGGTTTCATAAATACTGAAATCAAAAACTATCTATTAGTTGAAATTATTTCGATTTAGAGTCTTCGAATTTCGTGCGTTATGATGATAAACATGCTCAAGTATTAACAAGTAGGAGTACGAATGTCACAATACGTATCATATGTTTTTATTCCTCTTGTGGCAACTTCATAAAAGTTTTCCACGGACTCGCTGTCGACAATTGAGTTTTCTTCACCCCCGGTTATTGCCTCAAATGCTGCCTTGTTTTTTCCTGGGTATGCAGTGTAGAAATCAGTGAATGGCACGATGCGAATCTATGAAAATAGCAATACAAGGTGGGTTTATTTTTTTAAATTGATAAATTTATTGAAGCTGCTCATTTGAATGGGAGTTGTTATATGTTTTGTTGCGTTTATAGCTTCTGTTACTATAATTAAATAAGAGCATTTCAAAAACGATGAAGTAAAGAGTAGGGACTTCCGGTTAGGGGCGTCACATACAATTTAAGCGCATTTATAGGAAAAGAAATTGAAAAATTGTATTGATATAATTTTTATGATGTAATTTTTGAAACAGTATGATAAATATGCGAGGGAAAATAAAAATCAAACCTCATTTATCGAGTCAGTGGGGACATGTGACGATTTAATTTCCTGCTTGTTTACTAACGCTTTTGGATTTAAATGTTACTACAGCTACAAAACGTTTCTATTTCCGTATTCTTCATCTTTTATAGTTGAACACATTAATTCATAAAGTTATATTCGGTAAAAGAAAAACGATAAAAATCCTTACTAAGCGCTATAACTTTCCCACTCTTCTTGATGTATCGTAAAAAAATGCTTAATGTTGTTTACATATGTGACAGAAAGAATTGTAATTTATTATTTGTATCATTATTTGTATCACAGATCTGAAAATTTATCGGGTGTCGGTATTCGCAACATAGCCTAATTTTTCGGAATCGGTTCTTGTATATGTATCGGCGGAAAAAAATACCTCTGTTTTACGTGATCGAATAAATTGATAACTGAATTAATTTATTGCCATGGAGGAATAATGTTCAATGCCTCAATAAACTTTTAACAGTCTATGTATATAGTGAGTAATTGCCCTCAAGTGAGTAGGCCATTGTGCCATGTCTGTCCATACCCTTGCGAAACGTCACTGTATTTTTGGTACCATGAAGTTTTATTACAATCTTGGACTTCTTAATGTTTTACATTCAAGTTATTACCAACAATACTTGCTTATAACAGCATTCTAATAAGTTAAAAATTTCGAGAAAAACAAAATATTATATCGTATTATCACATTACAAATTTTTCAATGCCTACTCCTGTGTTCACCAATAGGCGGCCACTTTACGAACTTTGGTATGTTAACATTTTCAACAATGGTAAACACACGAATATACCATTACTCCATGAAAATAGCATTGAAAAAAACACACTAAATTCTTCTGACTTTATTTAAAACATATGATTCATATTTCTCACCCAAGCTTTCTCAACTAGTTTGGTGATTTTTGCTACCGATTTGAATAATAGATGATTATTTTGAATAAAAAGCTCAATCAACTCGTGTTTTCTCGGCTGAGTTAAATACAAAATATGGCATCATATCGTTACAAAATCATGCGTACGCGTCCAATACTGTATGCATTGGTTTCAGAAGAAAATTAAACATGTATGTATTTCATCACGTATAGTAAGTAACGGACCCGCTATAAGTTTTCTAATCGTACGCCGAGATTTTTACCTAGCACCAAGGCACCTAGCCCATATGAAACGTCTGCTTTGAAGACGTCCAAAGTTAAAATCCTATTTTCGATACAAATGTTCAAAAAAATAAACTGTTAGCACAAGTGAGTTTAATGACACGCCATTCGTCTGATTCACCAATATTCAATAAACAGCACAAATCAGAAGTAAAAAAAAAAAATTGAACCAAAAATTTTTACGCCGTTTCAAAAAATATTTTCTTACATGTCCTCTCTTGTCTCTTATTCGTTTGGATTCAGTGAGTGCTAGTTTACTGTCTACCGGTTGTTTATTGGACAGGATAACTATCAAAGGAACACTTCCCACTTCCAAGTTACCAATTAACACATCGTTTACAAATTGAAGAGCTTTTCCAGTATTTGAATCTAAAAAAGATTACAAAATATCACTTTTTGTATTGCAAATCATTAATATATTAAGTATCGATAAATTTCATTGAACGATTGTCTCTTCGAGCTACCATATTTTACTCACGCAAGTATTAGTAATACGTTCTGAAAATATCAAATCGCTGAATATGCTAACATTTTCTTAATTTTTTTTTTAGTTTTTTTTCAATGTAGCCTTTTATTAACTTTTTTACTGATTTAAAGTATAATTTAGTTCCTACATTATTAAATATCATCGTAAAATGACAGCTGTCAAACGGCGCTTGATATTTTCTTGTTGTTTATTTGGTCGAGATAACTGATTACTTTGAATTTTGAAATATTTTGAGTAAAATGTGCGAACATTAAACGGCATTTGTTACCTGGCCACCATTTCATATGACACAAAGAATGCAAAAATTCGACCTTTTGTGCAGATTCAAGTGTAAAATACGCGGTTTCAATGACAATGTACCACAACTAGCAGATTGGAATATACTAAAAATGTTCTAGTTTTTCGCAGTAGGGATACAAGGCTCGTTAAATATCATGATATTTTTGTATATCTCTGAATATATAACGGAATTCATTTTAAATACTGCTCCAGAAATGTCAATTTTTAATCGGTATACTTGTTAGGATTTAAAAATATCTCTGTTAAACAAGATAGTTTGTTTTACCTCCACGGCCAGCAAATGGTATACTATCCACCAAATCTTCCAGTATTTGATAGTTATCAAAATTAATGTTAGAGGCTTTGACCATACTTCGATTATCTACGGACGTAGCATATGGTACTACAATAAAGTTTAGTTCAAGTTTATAGTTCTCTGCAAGATACCTAAGAATAAAAACATTTTTGAAACGGAGAAAAAGATAAATTTACGTAATATCAAATGCCATGCATCGATGATGTATTGTAATTTTTATATTCAGAATGAAAAAAGATAACTGGCAGGATTCCAGGTTTTTATCAGACAACTCATTAAAAAACAATACACCAATATCAATTGTACCTCTTGTCGAGGGAAATTTTACCGGTAGTGAATAACTTTCTTTTTGTGCTCTTCGTTCTGTATTTAACATGATATTCGATTTTATTCATTTTTCATTATTCGTGCAAACTGGGTTATTATATCTAAGTAGACTATCTGGATTACACATTTCAATTATGTAGTAATTTGTGGAACAACCACGTTATATATTTAATCACAGTATTGCGCGAAAAAAACATATTTTTTACTTCAAAACGCAAAATATAAAATACTTACAAGGCAAAATCTGCATTGAATGTTTTAGAAACTTCCCACAACTCGTAATCCACGTAGGAAGAATCCATCAATACAATAATGTCAAGTCTTCGAGTAGATAAGCATACTGGAAAGTATAATTGTAGTTTTGTAGGACATGAATTCTAATTTCGCTTTGACAATATGTTACTTCAATCAGCAGTAAAACTACTGTTTGAATATACTGCCTCTTATATTTCTTGATTATTATGAAATATATGATATATAAGAATAAATATTTATTGCCGATGTGAACAAGCACGTTTTGTTTATGAACTCGATTCCTCAAAATAAATTCATATCCAGTTGAGCAACAACACACAAAAAAAATCTAATCATAATGCATGAAATGCAATTGGCCGTCAACAACCGAAGCGCAGTTTGGTGGTGTTAATTTGTTTAAGTTTTGTTTATGTTTATTGCTGAGAGATATTTTTGTATAATCAGCATATATAAATGTTTTACTATAGTTCGGTAACAATATTACCTGTTACACGTTTAAAATTGCTACTTTGTGTTGAAAGTTTAAAATGTAAAAAGTCTCGATGAATAAAAACAAATATGTTATTTCATTTCTTTTTCATTGGGTTTATGAAGTACTGTTGACCAATACACAAATAACATGATGCTCACCATCGCAGCACAATTTCCCTATCCATATTCCTCCGCCACATTGGATTTTAGAGAATTCGCCGATGGGTGTAACGAATGATCCCGCACAAAATAATCTGCATGCACTTCCTTCCAACCAATGAGTCCCGTTGGTTGATGACATTGGTTCGCACCTGACTTCACCATTAGCGACAGAATTATAATTCAAGCAGGTAGAGGCACCGAATTCAGACCCTGTAACGTGGAGTTATATTTTGTTAAAATAACAATTTTTATGCTATTTGCTGAAATGTTTATTTTTTTATGTTATATTGCTGTTGATTCTAGTAAAATTAAAGTATAGTGGAATTGAAGTAAAAATGATTATTTTAGGTAATTCAAAAGTTTTTCTTACGGTTCAGTTATTTGAGAATTCTAGTGGACACTAGAGTTGTACAGATAACACTGTTTTGCCGATACCAATCTGAGACCAACGAATAAACGCCGATACCGACATGTGAGGATTTCAAAAAGCCGATAATATCTAAAAAATGTAGGGGACAGACGGCATGAAATAGACACCTGTGACAGCTTGGAAAACGATAATTTTAGGTAAATCTAAAACATGGGGACAGAACATAAGAAAGTTAGGTTTGTGACTTGTATGTAATAAATACGCGTCACGAGACTCATTATCTTTTTAAACTAATACATTATGTTTTATGGGCAAGATTTTGTGCCAGTATAATGTCATATTGTGTATTTTATACATTGGAAAATCCACTATCCAAATCCATTCACAACGATTTGTATGTTACTTTGTACGCATGCAAAGATGGTTAAAGTCAGATTAAAGTCAGATGTCCCGAGACAAAAATATTCCAACCACAATTAGAAAACAGATCGCATAGTTATATAAACAATCGCGCTATGAGAATTAGGTATGTTAATTAAAAGATCAAAAAACATTGCATATCTATTCAACCGATAGGGCAGGGGTTCTCAAACTTTTGGTGTTGCGGAGCCCTTGAAAGGTTGAATATTACTCGCGGAGCCCCAAAATAAATGTTAAAATTGTTACTTTCAGATTAATATTCTTGAGCAAGTTAAAAGTACTTTACTTTTTTTAAATGCTGGAACCTTTTTAATAGGGTTAACACAAGCCATAAATAAATCTAAATTTTATACTGAAGTGTAAATTTGACACTTGACGAACATATTAATAAATTAGGGGTCGAATCTGTTCTCTTTTGACATTTTTGGAAGACTTGAAAGGCCGCTAATAACGTGCGCGATTTCATTTTGTTACAACCGCCGATTTTTTTCGTCAGCATGGCGTGCTTTAAAATCTTTACGTCGGTGTTTATTCTCCCTAAATCAAAAATTTCCCTCGGCATATACATGTATTGTTACACAATGAAGACGTTAATTGCTCTTTTGTTCTCGTGGGGAATTATGAGTTCAATGTGAAAAACATGTTACCATATTATAGTCATCGCCGACGAAATGCTAAAAATAAGAATTAATAAAGAGATAAATCCTACAACTCAAATTTTTTGATTGAAAAACGGCATTCTAAAATATTAAAACTGAAACTTAAAATGGAAAATCACACGTTTGGTTTCAGCAGACTCACCTCAGATTGAAAACGCTTTTATGGACATTGTAAATCACAAAATTTGGTGTTATGTTAGGTTTTCGTCGTGGTAACTGCGAAATCGAAACACAGTCAATTGTGCGCGCGATGTACCTTTTTTCCCATTTTGAAACTGCCGACGGAGACGCACGCAATCAATTGTGCGTGCGATCCGCGATTTACCTTTTTTTCATTCTGAAACTACCGACGGAGTCGAATGCAATAAAATAAATTTCAATTGTTCGTATTTTGCCCAGACATTGTAATTTTTTAGATGGTGATATCCTGCTTAAAAATAAGCTCAAGTGCGAAAGAACAAATCAAGTTTGACAAATCCCAAGATCGCAAAAATACGATTCCAGCTTTATTCTAGTTGGTAGTTCATCACATATTTTGTGTTATTTTAGAATAGTATTCTTTCATTTTAGTAATCCTGATAGTAATCTCGAATCAAACGTGAGTAACGATGAGCACAATTACATTATAACGACGAGACACGTTGAATGCGCCCATCGGTCATTGATTGAATGTTTTAGCAACAGAACTCTCGTTATCCGGTTTTTCAATCGCGAAGAATGTTGCGCGGGAATTTCCGATTCCAAATTTGAACCACCTCCTTCTTAAGAATCCTGGCTGCGCTCCTGCTTATAAATAATGTCATTTTTTAATTCCGCCTCTTTACCATATTTCGAGGCTATATTGTTGTCAGATTTTATCAAAGCTGTTATTGCTTCTTTGAACAGTTACAAAATTTTGAGTCAGTATTTTGAAGAGTAATCGAATACCTCGCGGAGCCCCTGGGTTTCCCTCGCGGAGCCCTGGGGCTCCGTACGGAGCACTTTGAGAACCTATGCGATAGGGGACTAAAAATATTATTGATATTGATATTATTGATATTGATAGGTATTTGTCTTTAATCAATACAATACATGAACACAACAAACAATTAAAATATATTGTTTCGAAATATTCGTAAAAGTCAAGCAGGTCCCGTGATAACTACAATATAGCACCATTCATAACTGTTCTTGACATGTCTCGACTATGTATGTCCATCTCTGAGAACAAAAAATATATTTAAACGATGTAGTTTGCAGTGGAGTCATGATTTGATTTACGTAATTGATTTCTACCTAAAATTTCATACGTTCTAAGGTTGTTGATGGAATGGGCTTCTTTATCTTTATTTTTATTGTATGCAAATGCTATCGAACTAGTTTTCCAATGCCTATACTAAAAAAGTCTGTAATTGAACTTCCCGGTGGAATGAATCTTTGCTTCCGATTCCGATCCTCCTAATACAATCGTTTAACACAACGATATTTTAAATTTATTCTGCTATGGAATGAACGAAAGACATCACTACTCTGGTGTACCGCACACCTCATATTGTAGACGAATACGACATATCGCAAAGGAATATGACATATCGAAGAGTAAAACCACACAACGCATAGGAATACCACATATCATACAAATGTTTATACGAATTTGTTCGAAATAGGTCACATCAAAGTGTTTCGACACAAGCATCATACTCAAGCTGTTTATGTCATTTTGAGGAGAAAGAGTCTTAATCGCGTTATCTATTTTTCACATGTTAAAATATTAACAAATCTGAAATAAAATAAAATAAGTTTGGCAGTAAATGGTGTTGTATTTGAGGTGGATATTTTGGTTTTAATAGCATAACACTCACCACCTACACATTGTGGTTCATTGACGCTCCACATCCCTTGTCCTGGTATTGAGCTTTTCACACATGTTACGGATCGACTGTCAGTTAACCGATAAGTTGGATTGCATGTGTAGATGCATTCTGACCCATACATAACGTCACGAGTGCAGATTCGATTTCCATTTTTAAATGATCTAAAACATAAGCATAATACCAATAACTGCCTGTAGCCATAACGACATAGACATGCATAATTCATCATAAACATTGCGGTGTATTTGTGAACCTGGGAAGAATAATCCCGGGATTTGGGTGTACGATAACACCATCGTTGTCATTACACAATCGAAACTGGTTCTTCAAATTGTTCATTATTTTGTGATCAAAGTATCAGTAGAGTACTTTATGCTATCATACTAACTTTCACTAGTAGACTTTAATTGACTAAAGTATTGGTTCGACTTATACCAGATCAGAGGCCACATTCACAAAGCTTCGTTACCGTTTAACGTGTTAGTTAAACACCGACTTTCTCGTGAAAAGCAAAAATGATATTCACAGAGCTTCGTAAATATTCGAGAGAAATTATTCGCGAGAAATTTTTTGGCGCCAAATGAGACGTCTCGTAAAGTGCCTACTTCTCACATTTTACTCACAATCGGTATTCGCCAAAGTTCTCTAACGCGCTGAAGAGCTCGCTAGCTAACGAGGACAATCTACGCCTCGTTAACAGTTTGGATTGCTCTTAGCAGTGATTCAAGTTAAAATAGGCTCGTTGAGACGTTAGCATACTTTGTAATAATTGGCATAGTATCAAAAGGTTGCCGCATTTACAGATTAAACTAGGTTTGAGATTCAGTGATTGTTCAGTTGTTGAAGTCATTTTTTGTTTATTCTAGAATTGGCCTACAGTATTATAAACACAGAAGAAAAGCCCCAACAATCTCTCCATGTCGTATCCGAAAAAAAATCCGCTAGATGCAACTGAGGGGACTATAATAGAGGACTATAGACTCAATTAAAAATTAAAAATATGGAATCACAATAAGCTCTGGCAACTCACTAATTTTAATGTCTATTACACAAGTAGTTCACAATATGTAACTTCAGCATTTATTCCCTGTAACCTATGGATTACGCAACTGCTATATGAACAAAATTTCAAAACTAAGGCTGCAAAAGGTGAAGCAGAGAAAGCCGATAGGTTACCGTGAAACACGCTCGACCCGTTGGCGGCGACAACTGATACGGCTGAGTGATCAGTCAGTGCATTTTGTTCAACGGCGACCGTGTGTCAAGTGCGTACGAGGTCTTTGGTGAATCGCATTTAACGAGATTTTGCTATCATGATTCTGAGAAACACAGTTACGTGATCGTAAACCCGGCTTTTTACGAAGTTTAGTGAATAGCGCCCCAGGGACACAGATAATATTTCAACAAGGGCACGGTGATTCAAAATCGGAAATCCCCACGCAACACTTTCTGGAAAAGTCGCCGCAATGGTATAGATTAGTGGTTCCAATTGCCGGTCCGCAGACTGATCCCGTTACGCGAAACGTTTTATTCGTTCCGCGAGAAGATTAGTTGCTCTGTTGTTTTTTCTGCCGGCGCAACCGCTTTGCTGAAACCGAAATAGCTAAGCTGAGTGGCTCAAAGCGATTTCTCTTCCATCGTTAAATTGCTTGTTCGATATGTGTGGTATTAATTGACCCGCCGACGTTTTGGCGCCGAGTAATCACACGTTTCGCTTTTCTGATTCTAATTCGTCGCGAAAGCACTCTGATAATGACAATTGTCAAAAACTGAAAAATTTAAACACGTGTTTATCGTAATTGGACAACAAAATGAATAACTCTCAAAACAAAAATACCAAGCGTGTTGCATTCGCATTTCATTCTGCACAATACACCAAGTATTGAAAAACTTTCGAACATATATGAATAACTAATGTTTCAAAATTTATGATATCATTGAATGCAGATTGAGTTTCACGTTTGAACTGAACAAATATTGTTTAATTAATTACATTTTCATGCTTTGTGTTAGTTCAATATTGTGTTGCCGGACCGCAAAGTCATTTTATTTCATGTATAGGTAAGAAGGTTGCGAACCACTGGCATAGATTTCAATTGCAATTTGCATAATTTAAAAATTACATTGACTAAAGTAGCAGTTTTCAACTTTTTTGTTCTTGTGGAGCAAAATTATCAGGTAAAAAACTCACTAAGCGCTTACACGAAAAAAAAAGATCAATAATCTTATGATCGTTAACGTGTACTTTATGTCTTTTAGTTTTTGAAAGTGCAGGCCTAAAGAATAAAGGCAAAAGGTCAATTCTTCTTCCTCATCCCTGCCTGATATTCCTTTGAAATATTAAAAAAAAATAATCATGTTCGCTAAACTGGTAAAATACAATATGTAAAATATTCAATCACATAAATGTTATGTTTAACACAATTCTTTTAATTTTCGAGGCGCAAACCCAGTGCGCACCAGTGCGACGGGGCGCCAGCCTCCTGTCGGGAGCGCTGGTCTCCATTTTTTATCTGTCGCCGGCTTCTAAAACAAAATTATAGTGATTTTTAAGTTTGTTTCATTCTTAGTATTCACGCCTTTATTTTCAGTTAAAAAATTGAATTGAGGATTCACTTTTTTTTCCTTATTTTGTTTTCGATCCTTTAATTATCGTATCGTCGTCAATGATCGCACACTAACACGTTTTTCTATAACTGGACGCACAGTTCCAGCGAGAAAATAAAACCAATTATCGGGGAAATACCAGTTCGGGGGACGACCCCGAACCCAACCAGGCTGCATTGCTGTATCAAAATTAGAAAGCGACTTTTAAGAAATAGTTAGTATCCTCTTTTTAGCTTTTGTCATGCCAAATGCCACTTGCAATTTTTCCTGAATAATTTTTGTTGACTCTTTGTGGCCTAGATACTAAAGCATGTTCATGGAAAATCAAGTATGTCGTTTTTGTAATGGTTCAGAAAATATGTCACGAACTTGTCCGATAACTATAAAAAAGAGATAAAACTGTTGAGAATATTTGTAAGATTAAGAATTAGTAGCTTACTTAATTTAAAACGACCATTGCAAGTGAAAATTTCTTAGGGTTTTTTTGTCAAGAATTAACAAAATTCAATCTTACTGGAGCAATGGAGGACACATAATTGGTCGACACACCGGAGGTTTATTGGACCATCCGATTCCTCTAACACAGGTCAACAATGCGATGCCACTTTCAACAACGCCGGCATCTTCTGATGACGTCATAATCTCGCCTTCTTCACATGAGTAAGTACAAATGCTTCCTTCATTATTTCTGTCAGTACATTCCTTATTTTCAGACTCAAAATTTACTGAGTCACATTGGTACACTGAAATAGAATAAAATTTAATATGTTTATAAATGCGATTTTTGGTTTTTATACGACAAACTCAACCCATATCTATCAAACATTACCATATTCCATTAGACGCAATAAACAAACAGCACCTAAATAATTTTCCTCTTTTGCACACAATCAAGAAGTAGTTACTCTTTTATCACTAGATATAAAAAAATTAGGCGATGTATGTCTTTGGAAATTGTGCGTAAAAAAGACATGGAGTACCAAGGCTAAGTAATACTCGAGGTAAAAGTTTACGCAGCGGTAAGTGGCTATTTAATTCCACAATTCGTTGTAAGCTTTTGAAAACCTGAGCAGCGATGTATTGCGACCTAGACATCTCTAGTGGCATCTGAAAGCAAACATTCTTTCCAACAGAATAAAAAAAATTTTCGAAGCATCAAATAATCTAAGCCTCAATGTACTTGTTGAACTCAATACTCAACTGAACTCTCAGAACTGAAAAAAAACGGTCTTGTCAATCAATCGCTATATTTATCTTGATACAGCTACAATTTCAAAGTCCGACGAAATCCTAGACGAATCATCTAAGTTTCGTCTAGAATAGATAGTTTAACCCTTTTCAAAGATTTCATTTGGAACGAAGGAATAACCGAAATGATTTGAAATACTTCAATGAAAGATGAATTGAAGAACACTCATATATTAGTGCGTGGGAACTAGAAGTAGTTTTAAGACAAGATCACAACAATCTTGCTAGTACTTATAGTTACTATTCATCACCCAACTATCACTTAAAAAGCGCACAAATTGTTTTACATGTAGATAAACTTGTAAACGTGGTAATCGTTTTGTTCTTTAAATTACCGGACCACGGTAATTTTTAAGTTTTGTGTACGGACCTTTGGTGAAAATAGTTGAGTAGCCCTTCTCTAGATCAGTGATTTTCAACCGGTGTTCCGCGGAACACTGGTGTTTTGTGAAAGACATTCAGGTGTTCCCTGCGTCAAATTGTTATTATAATTATTTTCTGAATGACATATTTATGATAGCAAAAGCTAGGTAGAAACGGAGTACGCATCCGGTTTATGAGTCTGTTGCTTGAATATAAGAACCCACAGCGCGAACTCTAAATTCTATGAATCTTGCTTTGAGGTTTAATGACATCGTAACAGATATTTATATAACCATAATGATTGGTAAGTAGTGTCAACGATGTTCATACCACATAACACATCCTTTATTTCCGCTGGTCCTGAGCGACTTTTCATACCCCTTTTTTAATATGACAGAACTAGTTAATCAAACGTGCGAGAAATTACCCGATATTTCGTAGGAAAGCTTATGTACGTCGCTTTATACTAAAACTCGCCCAAATTACGTAGCTCAAATACATCCTACCGTATGCCGATAAGAAAAAAGAAATTCCAAACATACTTAAGAAAAAAGTTTTTTCATAATTAGCGCTGTGGTGAACACGTGCTGGATAAAAGAGAAGAAGAGTACTTTTTTGGAGGAGCTTTACGTCGCTTTCCAAACAAGACAAGACTGAGCTTCTGAAGTGAAACGGTATTCGTTTTGTCGAATAGTATTTGATCACTTGTTTACGCGAGCTGTCTGGTACCCTTGTTTGTTATGCGCGGGAAACGGCTACTCGCTTGTTCAAAATACTTCTAATTCAAGTATTGACAAATTCCTTGTATATTTCTAAGCCTTGAAATACTTACACAAATAAAATTTACCTTGTAGTAAAATAGAAAATATACGAAAAAAAACATAATGCGTTCAACGTGATTACGAACACTCGGATAAAGCATTGATCATAGTTGATTTCCCAAAATGATTTCAGATAGTGCGGAAATACTTCACAACATAAACGTAAAATAACATAATATTACCAAGGTATGACCAAGTATGACAGGTGTCCCATTACATTGGCTATCGAAAAAACAAGATTGATAGATGAATATTTTGGAAAAAAAAAGTTAAATTAAAATACTTGTTCTCATCGAAGCATGCTCAGGTATCGCATTACAATGTCGCTTTTATTTCTAGCTATACTTCCCGTTGGTATTTTAGCATTTTGTGTCCTGATTTTATAAACTTACATTTGTGCTTCTGCTCATTGCGGCTATCAATTTCAATTTGTTATGTATTTATCCAATAACTCGAGTAAAAAGCTAGTGGAAGTTTTAATATTTCCTTTCTATGCTTCTATGCAAATTGATCTTGATTATTATAAGTTAATCTGATATTTCATGTCCGAAAATCTGAAATATTTATTTGGAGTTTCGCAAGCAATTTATGATATCAAAATTGTTCCACTGAACAAAAAAGGTTGAAAATCACTGATCTAGGTCAGCGGTGTCCAACCTGCGAATTTTTTTCTGCTGATTCCTAAGCTTATGATAAAACCCGCAACTTTTCCCGACTAACCTGAGTGTAGCTCAGATAAAAACCATTCTTGTGTATCGTACAATTGTGATGTGATATTATGTCAATTTGATTCAAAACAAGCACTTTATTTAAAATGTCCATGTGTTCAAACCACATTCCGATGGAAGAAGCTGCGGAACTTAGATGCACAACCATGGATTCGAGGTACTAATTGCTGAGGGGTAGAATATTTAAATAAACTTCGTTGTTGAAGATAAGTTTCCTTGTGAGTATTTTTTTTTATCAAAATTGAAAATTGTCAATCGGAGCAAGCTTAAGAACGATTAACTTTTTTCAGTATCAAAGATGCCAGTTGATATTAAAAAGTTGAGAAGTGACATTCAAAAACAGGTCCACCGCTATCCGGAGAAATGATATATATTATTACTGCTTGTAATCATTCATTCATTCCTCGTATTTGTCATATTTCTCAAAAATAAAACTGTAATTCATAGTGTGTGACATGTCATTAAATATACGACCAGTGGCAAAACTGAAGCATAACTTACGGCTCAGATGGCATTTGGGTTGAATATGACTGCTCTAAATCCAAACCCAACGAGATATATTTATGTGAATATCGGTGATTGTCGTAAGCATCTGGCCGACTATTACATGTAAAGCGTATGAATTTATTTTTGCTTTACGTGGCAAAAATTATTGGTTGCTCGCCCAAAATACTTTTCTCAGCAAATAAACATAAATTCGTTGTATATTTTTAAACTTTCACAAAAACAAACGCGTTTTGCCATCTGGATGGTAAAAAAAAGATAGGCGCAAGAATAAACTGGTTGCAAAAACGCTTGGATCAAGCATGAATCACGGTTAGAAATCCAAACATTTTGAATGTTATTGTTAATTACGTTTTGGTGCAGACAACTATGAAATACTTTTGACACCAAAAAGCATGTAAATAAAACATTAGTGCCACATCATGACCCTGTAAAAATGTGACTACATCATATAAGCCTTATATTATAAGGTATGCTGAAAAACATCTGAGCGACAAACCCTGTGAAAAACTTGGTTACAAGATCAACGCAAAATAACGATTGAAAAAAACATTACCAAATGTATTTCAATAAAAGATACCACAGTCCACAATTTTGCTCTTAATGAAACAAAAGAATTAATTGTAACTAAATGGAGTATTTTGGCTAGTATTTTGATAATGAAATACGTTTTCAAGAGGATAAATAGCTTTTTAAATATCTAAATGGCACACTGCGTAGTAAAAAAGACTGTTGTATTCAGACTAACAAATAAAATATGTAAATATTTTCAACATTTCCTAACTTTATTTAATATTTTACTACATTTTTATACCTGTCACACATTGAGGTTCAGCATTACTCCACTCGCCTTTCTTAGTAATTGTACTTTGTTCACAAGTAATTGAGTTCGGCGCAGATAAACGATATCCTTGGACACAAGTGTAACTGCATTCAGATAGGAACTTATCACCTTGGGTGCAAGTTCGCCCGCCGTTGCTGAATGTCCTTTGAAAAATTATCTGATCTTATTTGGTGCAATCTATTAACAATTTGGCCATTTGTTATATCTAATTTGGGTTCTTTACTCAAAAAACTTTAGAAATACTAAAATCTTTTTATATACAAGGTTTTGCTTTGCATGGTATAAGTCAGCATATCATATATACTTACTGTCCAATAAGAAACAAAAGGTTTCGATCATTTTACAAGATGAGCCCCCAGATCTCATTCAAACTCTCGGAGTCTCGACTGTAAGTATATATGCCTCAATAGTTCTGGCAGGAATTTTATCACAAAACGCATGCAACTTTTCGGCCGCCACACGGCACTTGTGTCGTTTTTTATCATGATTTACATCAGAACTTCAATAATGTTTTGCATTTTAATGTTGATATAAAAAAATATGTGATTATCGAAAATTCTTCAAAAAAAAAAATAAAGAAATCATTTTTCACGAGAACTCCTGTAACAATTAGTTTTGCTAAGCAGATTTCATAGAGGTGCTTGTCAATAAATGAAAATTGCATCTCACCGGTTTAGTCTTGGACAAGCGATCGGCCGACATACCGGTGGAATACCAGACCATCCGGACTCAAGGTTACAAGTTATTATTGCCACGCCGCTATAGATAACATTAGATGGATCATCGTTTGACGTCATGTAATTTCCCTCATCACAGAAATATGTGCAAACACTACCAATGTTGTTTCCATCAGTACAAGTTTTATTCATTGCTGCGAATTCCCCAGGTTCTTCACAGCTACGCCCTAGTATAATTTGACACTACAAGTAATTTTCAAAATGCGAAATCTCATCACCCACGTGAAGTTGTGAGCCTACTTTTTGCTGGGGGTTGGAATTGAGCGTTGCAAAAACATTAAAGTCACAGCATCAGAACTTCTAAGTGTAGTTTATGAACTAATAATTTTTTTTTTATTGCGTGAAAGTATATCATGTTGCTATATTTGTATTAATTTAAAATGACGTGTAATCATTTTATTACCGGTCTGATACGACTATGTCCAAATATTCAAAAAATATTGTTTCTTATTTCCTATGTATTCTTTTTGTTTACAGCTGGATGGATTGCTTTTGACAGTCGTTAGCAACAACTATCATGTCGATATTCATAGCAAATATTGAGATGGTTGCATCTCACCCTATTTATAGCATGTTACATTGCGTTGAAATATGATAGTATTCCTTCTTGCCTTCAAAAACTATTAGGCGAAAGGATAGGAATATTCTGACATTGAATAAATGTTCATAATCAAAAACAAAAGAATTCTGCAATTAATTTAAAATATTCTGTTCCGATTTGTTAGCTTGTGAGCAAGACAAATCTAACTAGGGGTGTTTGTCAATACTTACGAACACAAACTGGAAATTCTTTTGTCCACCGTCCATAAATATTTTTTATTGGTTCTCCACAAGTTATTTCATCAAAACCATAAACTTCAAAGTCAGCTGCACAGGTAAACCTAAAATATGTACAATTTTTTAAAACTTGGATCCAATGAAATAAATTATACCAGGCCCATAAGTAGTTAAAAACGTTCTACATGGCTTGTGGGGATTCTGTTTACACCCCGCTTGGGGTTTATAATAACTATTTTCTGTCGACTTCGCTTTTCGTTATGAATTTACAGTTTTTTTCCCACGGGTTTAAGTTGCTCTGCTTTCTATTTTAACCTTTCGAAAACCTGCAGTGTGTTACATAGCGCCCTATTTTCCACAAACCTATTGTAACGGGTTTCATTATAAAGAATCAAACCAGAAAGAGGGCCAACAAGAGGGTGTCTATCGCCCTCGCTAATACACTTCAATGGTAGATAACACGTAATCTGCAATGAAACGAAAAGTTGTAGCATTCAGTGGTAAATTTCATGAAATTAGCCGTGACATTGAATGGGATATTATATAAAGCAATGCTGCTATAAAAACATTGTTAGATATGTCAGTTCTAGAACTATGCATAAATTATGGAATATCAATCAATTAACTCTTTCACAATAAGGATCACAGCCTTCATAAGTCCATTTTCAGTACACCACTTGCTTTGATTAAAACAGTAAAAATTTGATTTGAACAATATATCTTTCGCAACAAGAAAACACACCTATATTGTATAAATATGATTTCTGGATTATAATTTTTATATATATTTATCACATGACTTCCTGGTCGATTATAAAAAAATGTTTAATGCAAAATTTTACGCCTATTTTAGTTGACAATTCTAACCTGCAATAACTTCCCAAATTGTTTCCATTAGAACATTCCATTTTCAAAATTTCATCCTCACTTTCAGGGAAACGACATATAACTTTGACACATTCTGGAACGGAATTTGACCATGTGCCAAGATGACCTGATAATGGCATGCCGATAAGAAAAGTTCATTCAATTGGTGATATGAGTATGTATATTATATAGTATATTTCAGTGATGACGAACCTGTTTTATTGAATGATGGGTCAAACATTATATTTTTATTATATGAAAAAAATAATATTCATATTTAAGATATTTACTCAATGTCTGCATTAATGAGAAATTTATGGTTGCCTATTTTCGTCAAGTCTTATAATTTTCAGTTAGGCTTGTGTGAATTTGAACTTTACACAAGCAGCACTTTTATCAGTACTGAAGCGATATTATGAAATTCACGTGCCAAAGCTTATGCATATGAATTATCAAAAAACGTGCAAAAATCTCAGGTAGTTTTTATTTTTTGAAAACTCCGAGGGAATTATATCTTTCAATCCGATTGAAATCATTACAATCCTGCTTCATTGTTGTTTCAGATTTCTGTAGTCGTTAATCCAAATTCAAATTTTGTTATTCAAACGTCATTGTACGCTAGAAACGAACAAAAGTTAGCACCCCAAAACCATTTTCTTCCCCCTACGACGCATGTAACTCCGAAAAAGTCGCAGTAACAAGAACCCGCGTTTTTTTGTGTCCGTTGATTTGTGGAGAAGCAATGCCAATAATACAACTAGAGCTGCGTGCAGCTTTAACAGGCTTCCCGCGTAAAAAAAACTGAAGACGCGTTTTGCTCACTGGAGCGTGAAAACGTGGTCAGTCATGCATAAAATTTGCAATTTATGATGGGGGACTTATTATCTGCATGTGATGTAAATTTCAAGTCTCTAAGTAGTGTCGTTCTCGAGAAGAAGATGAAAATGTAAAATCGTATATTGCTCACTGGAGCGTATCGCCGAGGTCACTCATGCGTATCCTTGACATGTCGTATCCGGAACATGTCCATTAATCATTGTTATGAATTTCAACCCAATAGCATGTATCAATTTTGAGAAATCGCAAAAAAACTGGAGACGCGTTTTGCTCACTGGAGCGTGAAAGCGTGGTCAGTCATACATAAAATTTGCATTTTATTGCTAGCTGGGAACTTCTGCACATTTGAGGTGAATTTAAAGTTTGTAGGACCAATTTGAAAAAAAAATAATAAAAATAAATAAATAATAATAAATAAACGAGAATATCGGTTGGAAACCGAAGACTTATCGATCGATGGTTAGGGGATCCCCCAAAACAGAAACTGCAGTTTCGATTCATCCGCTCTTGTAACTTGCGCACTGCGCATCGCAAACACACACTCGGCGGGTTTCAAAATTCTCTCGCTTTACAAAAATCTAGATCACTATATCAATAATTGATTGATAACTCGCTAATTATACGACATAATTCGCCCAAAATCAATAGGCTTCTGGTCCGAGATAAGATGAATGCACATGCAAAATCTGGAGCAGATTCAATCTCGTTTTCGTGAGATATCGCGTGCATCTAACAGACACACACACAGACAGACAGACATACATACAAATACCTATCAATATACTTACCGATCTTAAGATCGATAAGTAATAACTAGAGCTGCGTGCAGCTTTAACAGGCTTCCCGCGTAAAAATAGGCTGAAGACGCGTTTTGCTCACTGGAGCGTGAAAGCGTGGTCAGTCATGCATAAAATTTGCAGCTTATGATGGGGGACTTATTATCTGCATGTGATGTAAATTTAAAGTCTCTAAGTAGTGTCGTTCTCGAGAAGAAGATGAAAATGTAAAATCCTATATGGCTCACTGGAGCGTATCGCCGAGGTCACTCATGCGTATCCTTAACATATCGTATCCGGAACATGTCCATTAATCATTGTTATGAATTTCAACCCAATAGCTTGTATCAATTTTGAGAAATCGCAAAAAAACTGAAAACGCGTTTTGCTCACTGGAGCGTGAAAGCGTGGTTAGTCATGCATAAAATTTGCATTTTATTTCTAGCTGAGAACTTCTGCACATTTGAGGTGAATTTCAAGTTTGTAGGACCAATTTGAAAAAAAAACTAGAGCTGCGTGCAGCTTTAACAGGCTTCCCGCGTAAAAAAAACTGAAGACGAGTTTTGCTCACTGGAGCGTGAAAGCGTGGTCAGTCATGCATAAAATTTGCAATTTATGATGGGGGACTTATTATCTGCATGTGATGTGAATTTCAAGTCTCTTAGTAGTGTCGTTCTCCAGAAGAAGATGAAAATGTAAAATCCTATATTGCTCACTGGAGCGTATCGCCGAGGTCACTCATGCGTATCCTTGACATATCGTATCCGGAACATGTCCATTAATCATTGTTATGAATTTCAACCCAATAGCATGTATCAATTTTGAGAAATCGCAAAAAAACTGAAGACGCGTTTTGCTCACTGGAGCGTGAAAGCGTGGTCAGTCATGCATAAAATTTGCAATTTATGATGGGGGACTTATTATCTGCATGTGATGTAAATTTTTTTGGCATTAACTTCACAATGAACTAAGCACGGAATACGCCTTACTGATGAAAATCTGCAAGACCCGCTCAGAGTTACAGTGTCAAGTTACACGCCGGAGTACAATACACTGAAGAAGAGCATTAGACCAGATTTGTTCGATTTTGGTTTTCTCCTTGTTGAAAGAAGATATTCATAATTAGTTAAATGTGTTTGTAAATTTAACATTCGGCAATACAACTGTTAAGTTTATTTCATCTTAGGGTTATGCAGGGTGTTTGTAAAAAAGTAGGTACATTGTGGACCTGTCATATCATTTTAAAATCAATTTGAAAAACAGTCAGTTTGAAAATGGAAGTGTCATTGCTAGTTATTTTTTTTGCTACGTTGTGATAATCGTTTGATTTTCCGAAGAATCCTAAAGTTTATCAGTGTTTTTACGTGACTAAATACAAATTCCCTGTCGCTACAAAAGCATACCCATATTACCCGATTGAAACCACGAATTGGCGTTCGGGTGCCATAAAAATGTGTTTTTATAAAGAAGAAAAAAAACGAAATATTTTGATCAACACTAATCAAAGTGTTTATTCCTATGTAATAAAATATTCGTTTTTGCTGTCGATTTACCAATGGTGAAAATCATGACATAATATTACTCACTACAAACTGTTGTCCTATCTCCGATCAAAACCAAATCTCGACTGCATGTAAATTCACAAATACTGTACACAGAATTTCCCTTTGAGCAAAATACGGATCCATGTTTTGGTGGATTGGGTATTGAATTACAAATAACGGGTTCACAGGTCGGAGGAGAGGATGACCATGTTGCAGTAAACCTTGTTCGGACGCATGTTGTTCTAGATGTTCCAACCATATCGTAACCTGGTTTCGAAAAACAGAAAGAAAAAGCAATATATTTAACTTTTCTGCTCATACCTGCCTTAAGATTTGTTCTCTGAAATATATGAAATATAGTATAATATTTATAGCGTTTAGGCAATAACCTACATATATATAAGTCAAACTATATGAAGAATATTAATAAAAACAATTGATCTCAAATTAATTTTTCTACTTTTACAGTAGATCTTTATTTTGCTTACCATAATTTATTACATTATACCATATAAACATCTGGAATTTTACGTACCTGGAAGACATCTATAGACACAATTTGTACCTAAAGAGGTATCGTTTCTTTGACATCTAACAATACCATTCAAGGGCGCGATTATCGACTTACACCTGGGATTAACTGAAATGAAAAAAAAATCCTATTCATTAAGCTCTGAAGTGATACAATGAAAAATGCAATAAACTGATAATTTATTTCATCATTTGAAATTTAAATATATAGAGCATTAGCAAAAAATTACAAACCAAAATTAGTTTATGTTAGATTGCTAAGCAAGTGGTCGGTATTGTCATGGTACGTCTTTACATATACTGGTATGAATATCCATCAATGTTCGAACTTATTGGTCGCCGTAAATAAGCTAGAGGGCACGACTTCAATGAGTTTGCAACTTGAAATATGGTGTTTTGGCATAGTTTGGTTGAAATCTAATTGTTGATGACTGTCAGATTTCAACTTAACATGCAATCATCAAACAACTATTGAAAAAATTTTCTTTTCTTCATTTACTTGTAATTGACTGCTGAGGATGGCTATTAAGTACTTTTCTCTTCATGCAACATCGACTTTGAGTGAATGCGTTTTACACTGCGAGTAATACTTCATGCATAAAATTTGCATTTTATTGCTAGCTGAGAACTTCTGCACATTTGAGGTGAATTTCAAGTTTGTAGGACCAATTTGAAAAAAAATAATAATAATAATAAATAATAATAATAAAACACAGGAATACAATAGGTTCGTTCCCTGCTGACAAGCAGCGGGAAGCCTAATTATTATACGCTTGCCAGCAAAAAGTGGTCATGCTGCCTTTTTTTGAATAGCAATATTATCAACGCTCAATCGAACTTACTAGCAAACTCGCGACAGACTGAATCCAATTAAATCTAGTGTAATTTATCATTTTGACTTTATGCACTTTCATCTATTTGCTACAATCGACTGTAAACAGGCCTACCATTACACACGTTTAATATTGCGTTATTATTGCGTTGGCTTTTGAGACATGGAGATACAGATATTCTGAAATATGCATATACAGCAATTTGATGTAATTGTGGTATCATACTGTGGCTGTACCAGCATGTTTCATGCGTGGAAGGATATGTCAACATTTGCTGAGATGGACACATGCGTATACAAAAAAACATACGAGCACTAAAAAACACGAAGATATAACAATTCTACAATGTTGCAATTACTTCGACGTCGATGAATTCATAACAGCAGGTAAGAGCTGGTAACAATTGCACTGGATGTTTTACATTCTCGGGACACATAGCAAAATGTAACGCCAATTAATCGCATGCCACGTCAGTCTGTTTTGTGTCAAATTTTTTCTGCATCTTTCCTATTTTTTCTTGAAACACCCCTCCCATCGCCGTGAAACAACGCCAGAATGTTGCGTTGAAATAATAATTTCAAAAATGTAAGAAGATATTTTTGGTTCAACTTTCAGCGCGAAACATTTATCGCCGAATTTGTACCTACACAAAAGTCATTAAAAGATTTTAACAGGAATGTTGAGACGTTTTGAGTAAGAAAGGCAATAAAAATCATGAAACATAGCTCGAGCGGGCCTACTACAATCCAAAAGAATTTGGAGCAAGGGCCGTCTAAATTTGGCGAAACAAGTGCGTTACAATAATACATAATATACTTACATCTGCGGCTACCTACGCACGGTTGGAATCAGAGCCGGATTTAGAAGATGGGACATCCTAGCCAAGGGTTTGCTAATTGTGAGGCCCTCTGATATAATGACGTCACAACCAGTCTAGTTTATATATTATGGTATCACAAGTCTATTTTTAAATTGCGTGAATTACAAAATTTCAGCTACAGGCAGGATACATACATACAAAACGTCATGGCACCAGAAAAACAGACATCGTAATTTTTAGAGAGATCTGGCACAGTAAATATTATAATAATGCTAACATTCTTTGTTGCATGGATGAATTGGTATATATAATATAAAGCTATCTATCGATATTTTTTTATAAAATAAAGACATTATTACGGTTAAAACTGTTCAGGTAATTTAAATCACCATACTTTGTTTTCGTGGTTAAAGGGATAGCGTTTTTCAAAGTTATACAAACTAATTTATGCGGCCGTATTTCATTTTTTTAATCTCTAGAACGGTAAATATTAGAAACAAGAATTATCAACTTCAATAAAAAAAAATATGAGATCTATGAGAAGCTTTAAATTGGCAATATTCTGGAATAAGCCATTACAATTTTAAATTAATTAAAATGAATAATAGTACAAAATTGATTGTCAAGGCCCTCGTGGTTTGGGCCCCTAGACTTTAACCTACCTTGCCTAATGGTAAATCCAGCCCTGGTTCGCATGAATCCGCCACGTCGCAGGGTGGTTCACGTAATGGCTTATTGGTTACGTCTCCCTCCGCCAACCACGTTTGCGGACGCATTGAGCTACAGCTTGAGAAGTCGTATATGGGCAAATAGTCAATCTTTGAGGCGTTTCAAATTGTTTATTGCAAATGATAAGCAATTGGCAAGTTTATACATCCATTTTCTTGTTTTATAATGCAGCCATTTAAAATAAAACAGGCGAAAAAAATGATTAAAATAATTGTTTTAAAACAATTATTTTTCAACAAATGCCTACTTTAAAATATTTATTTCACTGGGTTCCGCTACCACAAAGGTTGAAATCAAGGCTTCAAACACCACCGAGTAGGTTGATTCTTTCTCACGAGTCTATGAATGTGAGTTTCAGAATTTCCAGCGAATCGAATCAACATCAATTTCCGACGGCATGTGATACGGCTAAGTGCTCAGTATACGTTCTGTTCAACGATGACCGTGCGTACGTTTGATAGAGGATGTGTGTGAATGTGGTTCGAGTGTTTATGGGCTTTAGGAGAAAATACCGATGCGATAGATGAAATGCGATAGATGAATATTTTTTTCTTATTTTTCGACGTTTCGAGAGACTTCACTACCACAGCTGTGGCCTAACAGTTCAATAGTCAGAATACCATTTTAAAGGTTATGCACTTTTGATTTTAAGAATTGAATCGATTCGAATCACATCTTTTTCGAAGCGATTCGAATCAGATTTATGAGATTCGGAAAAGGAGATCGATTTACCGAAAAAAATAAACATTGAACTTCTGTTCACCGTTGTTATCGGCGGCTTCAAATATGCCGAATGCGTTACTCCAAATAGCATTAAATTACGGGACGGAGATATAAATGAATTTATCGTGATTGACTTTCACTGATCTGCCGTCATTTATTTTTAAGTTCAGCGCAAAACACTTTTTTACGCATGACTCGTGATGCTGTGTAGCTTAATTTCCCCAAACTGTCAGTTCAGTATTCCACTGAATAGCCTAAGTTTATATTAAACAAGAATTTAAATGAATCGTATACCTGAAAATTCGTTACAATTTTGATGAAAATTTACAACATCACACCTGCGCTGCGACTAAATTATGGTACGCCCTGGCATGGCTGGATCAAGAATCAGCTACCGATTTCTAGTAAATATTTAATTTTGATTGAAATTTAATTTAAACTTCGTTCAGAGTGAAATATTTTGCGTATATTAGAGGAGAACTATTACTGAATAAGTCCATTGGCCAGCCATGCTAATTGACACCTAACGTATATATTTATCTATTTTGCTCGCATTTGTTGTGCCTCCACTCGAGTGGCGGTAAACGAAAGAAGGGTAAACATAATGTAATAGAACATATACGTTTATCATTCCAGCTGTTACATATAAAGAAATGTGGTATTTTCTTTAAATTTTTGTAGCGCGATACAAACGGGGAATAAAACATTTCGGGGTATTTCGAGCAAGTGTCCTGACGGACATGCGGGAATAGATAATACGCGAGGAATGGCAACTTGTGCTTTGTTTTACATTAAAACGCGACAGATTTTATACCAGACCAAGCATAATATGCAAATGTCGTCTTAATTTAGTTTCAACGAGCATGTTTGATCGGGATACAGCGTCGGACTACGTTTGGACTTTCTGGATTACGAAATTAAACGTAATCCAAGATAATAATAAAGCCCATGTTTAGTAATAACGGTTTTAGCCAGACATATTTTTCCACAGTCGTAGTCGGTTGAAAGATTATTTTTATCGAAATTAATTTAATCGTGGTTAATTTTTTCATGACGGAAATATCATATTATTTTTTTGGGAGTTTAGGAAACCTTCGCATGCAAGAAGATACAAAATGTTTACCGGATTCAGTTTCGGGAAGATTCGATTCGAAAATTTTTTATTTGAGATTTGATTCCAAAAAATGTATCCAAAAGTGGCAATCCTAGTAATGACTAATGAATGAGTGATATATTGTATACATCTTCCGAGCCGTATTGCATGGATAAAATAAGCACATTTCATTGATCATGGTGTTTGATTTACATTCAGCAAACGGTTTATTCTATTGAAACTATTATGTTGGATGAATTCCTGTTATTTGGTCCTGCCTTAACCTAATGTTTGAGTAAACGAGTGATTTGACTGACTTGCTAATTATCGGTAGGAGGATATAATATGACAAAAATCTTTTAATACGTTGGTTAAAACCAATTTCTACCAATTGTAGAAATGAATCTCTATAAAAAAAATAAATACGAGTAGTAAATTTTATATAAACGATTTCGAATAACTATAACTGAAATCAAACTTATGTCATTTGTTTTCTAGGTTTTCTTTGCCTGAGGAAAAATCTGACAGCTTATCTGTATAGTCACTTATAGATGGCATATGTTGGGCAAGTAACTCACTTTTTTTACAATAAACTTCATGTCCATTACAATTATCTCCAGTGCAACAGCACCAACACACGTCAACTGTATCACGTTTTTCACATCGATAGGAATTCGTGAGAAGCTCATTCTAAAATAAAAAGAAATAAATTTATTCCCTGAGTTTTTTTCTTGTGCGCTGCTGGTCAAAAACGCTCTAGAACAGTGGTTTCCAGCCTTTTTCAGTTTGCGGACCAATATTTTCAGAACCAATGAACCTTCAAAATCAACCTGAAATGTCGAAAACCTAAAATGTAATTAAAAAATTGTAATAACAACAACGGTATGCAATTTAAGGCACACATTTCAATTCAATTGGAAATCTGCTGCTGTCTTTTGAATATCATACGTGTTAAGCGCGGTGCTAATGAGATTTCTGCAAGGCGAAGTAGAGCATTAACTTCCAAACGATTTCTTCGTTTGGTCTTGATGAGAGATAACGATGATAAGCTTTTCTCACATTAGTAAGCGGTACAAAAAATCAGCAGTAATTTGATGACTTTGTCACTGAGCACAGGATATTATTTTCAATTGATATCCAAAACTGTGAAAATGGCATCCATCCGTTCAGGGTTTAAAATGGGCCTTGAACCACTGATAGTTTACTCAACATCAACAATAGGATTTGAAACTTACAAAATAAATGGACAGGTGATCAATGCCTTACTTTTTGCAATTGAGATATAGTATTGGAATATATTTGACGGACCGTCAAGAAGGTTGACTCGGAACGGCGCCGTCCGCGGATCGGCGGTTAAGGAGATAGCAAGAAGATACGCTCACAAAATGATCTTTAACTTAGTTTATTGCATGATTTTAAGTAGTTTAGTGAGTTGTTCAAATTAGCGCATTCGAAGCTTGGTATTAAAATTTTCATTATTGACGATATCAATATTAAAAAGGTTATACTTACAATACATACCTATACCGTATTTCCCGGCAAATAAGTCTGACCGGTAAATAAGACGAGGCCCGTTTTTACGCTTGAAAAAATGTATTTTTGCACACAACCTCCCAATAAGACGGGTAGTAAAATCACATCATATCGGAATCTCAATATACCACACGAAGGCTTTTGAAGGGTCGCCACGTTTGCGCATTGGTTAAAATAGCCTATAATGACTTTTCTTGTAGCGTAATATTCAATCCATAACAACTACGGGAATTCAAATTGTCTTTCAATCTAATTGTGCTCAACGTAACTCGCGATTGCGTCCATCATATAGGAACATTACCTATCTAATATGACACTGCAATCTGCGGACATAATAATGTGTCCTCGTGGCAAACTTGTGACCTAGGGAGAATAAATGCTGAAATGAAAGATGTTTATGGCTCAAATAAGTCATCGCGCTGACAATAACAATTGTCCCCCCCCCCAAAAAAAATCAAGCCAGAAATTTGGGTCTGAATAAGCGACTTTTTCGCCGGGAAATACGCTAATTAATTAAGGACGATTAAGGTTAATAAATAAGTTAAGGTTAATAAATAAGTTAATGTTAATCTCCTGCATATATGCATTTTGGGTGCTATAAGGATCTAGCTAACATCGGATGAGATAGCAAGGTAGTGATGGCATAGGGTATCCTAGTAAATTCAGGCGATGCAATACCCTTCTTTTTTGTTATGTGAGAAGAACGGACCAAAAAACGAACCTGTTTTCGATTGTTGTCGCATCCGATATCTTGTTTACATCTCTTGGTTATTTTGAAATATCTATCATTGGCAATAGATCTAATTTCGTTTTGGCATTCAAGCTATAGAAACAAAAAAATAATATTAAGATTTGTGTGGCAATAAATTGTAAAAATACTTTTTCACCAGAGTGTTAACCGTATATGAGTGTTAACCGTATATCTTGTTGATCAACTACAAGTATCAGAGGCAGTTTCACAATTTGGAATCTCGACGAAATCATTTTCTTATAATTTAAACAACTGGTAAATCAAGACAACACCATCATCTACGCTGAAACTGACCTCAAATTTTTGGAACGGGCGGATTTCTGCTGATACACCTCTATAATATTTTTGGAATCCATCATTTATTTCTCGTGTATCTCATCATTCTGTAAACTCTGTTAGACGTTAAACTCTGTTAGAAACCTCTGTCTCTATTTGCAACATGCGATATTTGATAACCTCCGAGACTGAGATATTTATGGAGACAGCTGCGCTGAGCTGAGAGATGTATCATTGGCCTTTTCACCTTCTGTGTTAAAATCTTTGAGTTTTCCTGGCATAGTTTTTGAGTTCTCCGTATGGCAATGTCATTAGATCACGCTTGACAATAGTCACTAATTCTTCTTTCCGGCTACATGCACAATGGTGAATTTGGATGAAAACATTTTCTCCTCCAAATCAAATGGTCTCCTACTACTAATATCGACATGAGATCTATCATTTTATATCCGGATCAATGATTTTTAGTCACCTAATATCAGTAATTTATTCATATTCCAAAACATAATAACGTGTCTGCTTGAGTGCCCATGTCACTGCTAAGAACTTCCTTTAATTAGGACTGCTTCGAGTAATGTGAGGATTTTTGAAGCTTCTTCCCACTAAACATCATTCCAACCCGTCACCAGGGCAGCGCGCAGATATTCGACATTTGTAAAAGATATATATATTTCAGCATCAGGAAAGACTCGATTATATAATTTGATCAACCTATTGCCATGCATACTGGCCTTCGGTGGCCCGCTGTTTATCTGTAACGGCGCACAATTCATTAGCAGATTAGGCTGGAATTTGAATACGTTAAAGTAGTGAAACCTGATAAGTCATTTCTTTGAGCATTCCATTAGCTGACTTGTCTGCAGCAAACTTGGTAATATAGTCTTGCTCTTTTTGATGTAAACACGGAACGGTTCCTTGGAATCCCTGTGCCAACCTGACAGTATCTCTTCATCAGCGATTTAATTTACCAGTTTATTCTTGATAATCTTGTTGCTACGTCAAACGTGTTGCCACAACCTGTATGCCTGCATTTAGTTGCATATTACAGCTTGCCTGGAAGATTGGCCGAGAAGATGCTAGTTTCAGGTGAATAAATCATCTTGCTGAATTTTAACCTGCGAACGAGCGTTCTCTGGTCTTTCACGGCTAGACAGTTATTTGCATCCAGTAGATTGACTTCTGTCATGCTGGCAACATCTTGTATGTTCCACATAATATCTGATCTCTGTCCCTGTTCGCAGCAATAAAACATAGCTGTTTGGATCATGTTGTCGGTGATCCTAATCTTATACATATACCATTTTTCCTAAACACACAACACTGTTGGATATTGATTCATTTATAGCTTCGGTTTAGGTGTTGCAAACGCTGGCGAGCTGTTAGCTATCTTGCTGTCCATGCTGTCATTTCTGCAAGAGTAACTTCCGTGGGGATCTTTGGTCCTCAGACATACATAGTTCAACTACCATTACCAATATTTTTTTATAACAAATGTTTCGTGTTTACGTGTTATGAATTTGTACTTTTTACTGTGTCATACATAATACCCAATATGATCGTGTCTGATATAGTGCACTGATGTCACAAGTTGGCGTTATTTTCTTTATTTGTACGTACTATGTTCGCTTTGTGATAACATATTGTTGTTGTAATATTTCACAAAGTTTGTAAATCATTTAGGACTCTGTTCAGCCTCAAAATATTCATGCTCACTGAAACAAGCAATTCCGCAGTGTAATATTTTCCTAGAGGGAACACTCATTGTAACCCTAACCACCTGACGTTATCTGGAATACGCGACCGACTCGGTTAGTAACGTGGTATACAGCAAAAACTTTGCGTATACCGCCCATCATATATAGCCAATATCATACCCGTATACATGCAACTCAATATTTATATACAGAGTATACTGGCAGTAATGTACATTTACAACCAATCGATTTTATATGCATATATGATTATATGGCCATCATGTGTTTGATATCAAAGCGTTGTAATTTGTTCAATTAGCGAGACATCGCGTCAGTGTTACCATTACACAATTTGACTATTGTTAGTGTGTGACTGTGTTCTTTTGCTTACAATAAATTTTCCATAACGATTGATTATTATAATATCACAATTCACAAGTGAATTATCAAACTTGTGAAGTGGAAGTAATAAATCGCAATGATCCGAGAATCATTCAATGGTTGCCTCTACATGTTACATGTTTGTAACGAAACATGCAGTATAAGACGTTAGTGGTGCATGATACGCTTAACAATAGTCTAATTACGCTAATATTGCCTAACAACAGGTGATCGTGAGGATCAATTATGACAGTTTTAACATTGATATCGTCTTTTTTCCTAAAAAACTCATGCTAAGCCATTAGTAATAAGCTCGCCTCAAACTAATCAAATTAAAGATTTTTTAGTTTAAAAATCTATCAAAACATCATTACATGATGTTGTTTGATTTAAGAAGTATCGCGGCAATAATATTATCAAATTAGATCAATTTGTATTTACTCGCAGTAAGTAATAATATGAATGATAATTTCAAATAATTCAGAACCTTCGATTTTATTTCAGCAATGTCATATAATCAACCATTTCTTTTCAGCAAAACAAGTTATTCCAAAAATATAATTTTCAAGCAATTTTTAAAATTGATTCTATTAACATCTTCGTAGTGTTATCTACCCCTTTTCAAAATTGGGTTAAATTCCAAAGTCAACTATTATCAACAATTGGAGAATTTTTACTGTTTACTGATAACCAAGTTTTACTTGTTTTACTCTACAATCATTCGAAAATTATGAATGAGTTTATGTTGAGTATATAACAAAATTGCTGCGTATTCCGTAACAGCAAAAGAACCAAAACCCGTATGTTCCCCAGCTTTTCATTTTGGGGGGTGTTTCGAAAATTAGGGGGTGGTAAATAATTTGTTATTAGCGAGAAAAATATTTGTATTTTTAAAAATTGGTATGTATTTAAGTAATGATGTACATGAGGGGTCTCCGAAGTTGATTTACGGCGAGCCAAAATAAATAGCAGAATAAAATTGTAGGGCCAGAAAAGGGGAGCGAGGAAAAGTGCGCGACGACACGGCTGGGGTTCAGGGCGTGCTTAAGCGCCTTGAGAAAATTTTGAAAAATATGCACCGAAATAGTCCCTAAGCTTGATTTTAGATACACCTAGCATCGCAGTTTGTTACGTAATGAAATTAATAATTATAATATTTAGCTGATAAAATTTCGGAAAAATAAATAACAAGCACGGCTTTCAGCAAGTAATTTGCAATTGATAGTGACTAATGAAGTTACTTGCTCATCCAGCATATGGCATAGTATGAATGGCTACTTATGGCTTGTTTTGTTACAGATTTCACATTTTTTTGAACATGTTTGTTTGACTTTTGTATGGATTAAGCAATGAATTAAATTTTGAAATACGCGCGTCAACTGATCATAATGGCGCATAATTTTGTATTCCTTCGGAACTGAAATATTTTGTTGGCAAGGAAGACAAATCGCTGAAGTTTGATTCTTTTCAAAAAAGAAATAAAAACGCTGCCATTCATCTAAAAACGTCTGTTTTCAGTACCTAGTTTTCGTTTTGTGACATCTTTAAGCTTTCTTAGTATACGGCTGATATCTAAAATACTGCAGTGTGTAATATACGTATACATAAGATACCGGTATAATTCAATTGTTACAAAATAAACGTGCTTAAACTGTAATAATGATGTAACGATAAACGGTATCTAAAACTCAAAAGGTACCACATGGAGTGTTAAACTATTTCACTCAAGTTTGGCGGGCCATTTTAAATCGTTACGCGGGCCGTAATTGGCCTGCAGACTGCAGTTTGGAACCCCTCATCTACACTGATAAATATGCCATAGTCGTTATTGGACACGTTTAGTGGCCATAACGATCGTTTCAAAATTTTGTTGTTATTGTTATTGTTATTTGTCTCCGTCTCCATTTTTAAAAAATTGCTTTTCTCTTCGAATACTGGACCAATTGCTTTGATATTTTCAGTGGTTAAAGATAAAAAACTTTTTTTTTCGCTATGACGTCATCAAAATTATTGCCACTGGCTGGCGCTACGTGTCCATATATTTGAGCATAGCTCTCTTGTATTCGAATACAATTATATTTGAGTTGGGAATTACAGTGCGCACTTCAAAATTAGGGGGGGGGGGTGTAGGGAAATCACTGACCAAAACCAATGAGAAAATTAAATAAAAAAAATATTACGAAGGATGTGGGAAATCACTGACCAAAACAAATGAGAAAATTAAATAATAAAAATATTACGAAAAATGTGGGAAATCACTGACCAAAACAAATGAGAAAATTAAATAAAAAAATATTACGAAGGATGTGCGAAATCACTGACCAAAACAAATGAGAAAATTAAATAATAAAAATATTACGAAGGATGTGGGAAATCACTGACCAAAACCAATGAGAAAATTAAATAAAAAAAATATTACGAAGGATGTGGGAAATCACTGACCAAAACAAATGAGAAAATTAAATAATAAAAATATTACGAAGGATGTGCGCTTTCGCAACAACAAGTGCTTTTTCATTACATTATAAGCATATTGAAAAGATTAGAAAAAATTTATAAAGCACTACACAAAATAAATTTATTCTGCAGTGAAAAGTTACGTTCTTTAAAAAAAAACATGTGACCAAATCTTCATATGGATAGGTGAAGTTCACATTAATTTATATTCAATGAGTGGAATATCATTTATTTATATAATGTATAATTTACCTGGCTCGGTTGGCATTGTTGTAGCTTCCCATTCAACATACAATCCCAATTATTGTTTTCATTTTCACAATGCCAACATCTCAATCCTGGAAGTACATTTCAGCAATTATTTTCAAAAGGTAGTGTATCACATCATTAACTAACTGTAAATAACTTAACAAAATACTTTTCTAGTTAAACTGGAAAAACTCTCAGTTGAATATAACTTGCCCCAATGAAACTTCTTATAGACTGCTTATACATGACAAGAAATAAGAATATTTACCATTGCACTCTGATAGTATCGTTGCTGCGACTATTATAAACTGCGTGAATAAAATCGTATTTGTAGGCATCACAAATCGTCTGTATATATTTCCTTAACTTTTTCTATTACAACTTTGAAAATTAAGCATTGCAAATTAATTGTAAATCATAGTTTCTAGTTTTTAAAATAAACTTCATATATCCAGTATAGTTTTAATATACGCCTAACTTATTTAAACAAATACTCTGTGATATTCCAAAAATCGTTTGACGTATATGCGGTTTAAGAAGATTTCAGCAAATAAATCACGCAAAAACGCTCGAGGACAATTATTAATCGGAACGATTTCGTCGATAAAAATGAAATAAATTTGAAAAAAATTATTAAATTACTCGTATTATTAGACGATACATTGCGCTCTTCAGAGGAGAAACAAATTCAAACCAAAAATAAGAGTTAAATTCAAAAGTTATTGTTATTTATTTCAAAAACAATATCTTCCATGTGTTTACCGTTTATCAAGCGATTGAATTTTGGCGAGGTTCGTTAACGTTTTTTGAAATTAGCTCCAGTAGGACAAGTTATACAATGTGTTAATATTTCAGCTATAAATGACAAATACATGTCAGCACATTTACCATATTAACAACGAACTTAGATTATAGAAGACTAGTCAATAATATATTCCTGCAATATATTTGTAATCCAGGCGCACTAACGTTTGCCGTGGCATTACTTTTTTCAAAATAATTTCCATCAGCTGATGATACTACCAAGTGTCATCGACCCTTATCATTGCAAAGCAATTCTCTTTATAATGTAATTACACAGTGACGTTTTTTGCCGTTTCCGAATAATTTCTATTTATCAGGTAAAAATGAGAAGGTAATACTCAATTAAACGAATACCTTTTCAGCGAAGTTTAATAGGCAATATTCTTCGAAGGCGTATTCTTTGCTTTGTGGTAATTTTGTCACAAGTCGTTTGACAGGTTCTTCAACAAAGCATATTATTTTTAGGCAAAGATACTAGCTCTAAGATTTTGTATAATCAAGAAACTATTTTGGAAAACATATTCACTTATTGGGCGTTAAAATATTCAGTCTTAGGTTTTAGCGGCTGTTGTTAATTTAAAGTTTTGGATTTTGCTTGAATAGTATATTATTATTATTATTATTCACTTTTCATTGAAAGAATATTAGGTACGATTCTCAGAAAACACTCTCCGAAAAAAATGCTTTATTTGGATAAGTGAGTATTTTATGACCAAATAGATGCCCCAGGAAACATGAAGTAATTTTAATTTTTCAAGCAAAGTTGTATGATGACTGGAACTGGTATTCGTCGTTTGGTTTGGTGTGGTGGAGTAATGTTTTTTTAATTATTAAATCGCCCGGTAAGAAACAATTCACATATTCTGAAGTCAAAAGAAATATTTACTATAGGCATTTGACAGTCATTGGTAAAAAAAAATAAAAAAAATATATTAATATGTTGATGTTTACACATTTAATCACTCTTTAAGTGGTCTTCTACCATGTACATAGCCATTTCAGTCATTCGGGCGTATGAAAGACTAGACTTCAGAAGTTTAATGAACAAATAGCAAATACCACGGTAACCCGAGTTTTTGAATGGAGGGATAACTCTGAGTGTGAGGGCCTGTAAACCTGTAATATCTGCAGTGTGGATACAAAATACCACAGTGTATAGGAAAGCAATTTAACATCGAGTGGTATGACTGAAATCTGAGCAACAAAAATTCTATCAAAATACATATCAAAGTTTGCAAGAGAACTTGCAACGATAATCATTTTAGATTCTACCATTTAAACGCACGTTGATGATCTCGCAAGATTTTCAGTTTCTCGAAAAAATTGAAGATTTATGGAATGGCCTTTCTTTGCCATCCTGTATGACGAGACTAATAATATGGCACTTTTATCGTGTGCTAGTCCATGTTCATTTTGTGTGAAAACTCGGAACAACTTGTGAGTTGAAGGTATATAAACTTGTTCAGTAACTTTGGAAAAGAATGAAATGGAATTCAAGATACTATTATATATGCGCTTTATCGCCAGAATGAGCAGGGAAAATCGCCCAATATTATGTTTAGGCCACAAGTCAAGTTTAGACTCAACATTCGGAAACAGTAAATAAATGTAGATAAAAATTTCATAAAAGTAATACAAGTCCAAAAGTTACCATAACCGTTTGTAGGCTAAATAATGTTCCGAGTATTGATCCCTTATTATTACAAAGTGTGGGCACTCCAAATTGTTTTTCGTGTTTGCAACGGCGTAAGTTATAACGCTCGAGGCTATTGAGGAAAATGGAAACATTTATTATACTCAATTCCACTTAAAACTCGTTTTGTTGCTTCAAACAGGTTTTGAAACGGGTTACCTGGTTTTGTACGTTTCGTCGCGTTTCTTTTCATTATAACTTTTTTAGATCGCGTATTGCGCTTAATCGTTGAAATATTGAGTGGCAGGCGGAAGTAAGCTATGGTAGAAAGCGACATAAACGGTAATTTGGATCTGAAGAGCAACCTAAACAGAAAACTTTGATAGAAATATTTACTCGTGCAATAAAGAATAAATTTGTTAAACCACAGCAAGTATCTCAAATTCAGATTATATATTACACTTTTTTATCGTGAAGGCGCATGAAAACACCAGCCCCATATCCCACTGAGAAAGTGATATCATTCTAGTTGATTTCGTATAGATGAAGCAAGAGAAGCTACTTTAAAACAACGCAAAATAAACAGCACTATCGGTTGAACTCAAGTTAATTAGCAGCAAGATTATCCAAATATTCATTATTAATATGATACAATCAATATATATATAAATTTAAAACAATTGATATCGCATATAATAGATTGCTAGTTCAGATTGTTTAAGAATGTTGAAATTAAGCGTCATTCTATGTTTGGTTGTGATTACTCCGAATCCCTCACAAGGTAAGGTTATTTGTTTCGGTCTTTACCCTTCATGCAAACCATTTTCTTCTTTGGTGTGGGTTCGATGTACCGATATAATTATTTAGATACATTTTATAATATGATCACTATATCATTTAGTGGCAACGATTCAAGTGGTATAAAAACAAGTATTAAATATTTTCAAAAATCTGATTTATTCACTTCTGTATCGAATCATGTATCCTATTCTGTCGAACCCACTCAGTTATTTGAACCAGTATCGGTCTGAGGTAAAACAGATATCGTTATTCCTCTTATTCTCGAGTTTGAGCCTTGCTAAAAATAAATTATACCAAAATATTCTTATATATCTCATTGTATAAGTTAAAAAATAAAATTGTAGTATTTGGAAACTGAAAAGGGGTTTCTGGTTAATGGCCACAAAATTACTATTATCTCTCAAGTTAGTTCCAAGCCAATAATATAATATATATTTATTTTATTTTAGCGCTACGGAAATGTTGGCATTGTCTGAATGCAAAAAGTCAATCAGAATGCATAGCCAAAGGTCGTTTGGAAGTATGCTTAGTGAATGAGGTATATTTAATTACGATAAAGCTTGTTGTCAGAGTTTGACAAATCTAGTCATCTCAAAATAAGTCGGTCCAATCAGGGTTTTTGCTAGTGTCCGTTTTTTAATAGTCAATAGTGAATTATACCCAGTTGGAGTACCTCGGATTAGTCCAAAGTAATTTTATCATGATGATATGTTGTTGTCTTATTCTCAGCATTTTTGTCAAAACACTATAAGAGCAATTGGAGGAGGCATCTATTACGAAGTCACCAAACGTTGCAAACAAACTGTAGGATGTGATAACAACCAACGACAGGTATGAACAAATGGTGATATACAAATGGCGACTTTTCAAATAGAGATAGCACTGGTCCTCCAACCGGTTTCGCTATTGCCTCTGTAATATCCAATTAGGTGTAGAGTTGTGTCAAAGCCCTTCGGCTATCACGTTTCACTTTGCTCGTTTTACCATAATATTTTTCGTAGTTTAATAAATGCAGTGGTTTCAGCATGTTTAATAACATTTGAGATTCGAGGGATTCACTTGAAAACCCATGTCATCGAGTTGGATGAATACGAATAAATAATGTCAAATTTGAAAATTTTCAGCGTAAAATACTCGGCGTAAGTTAGAATCAAATGAAATCATAGGTTGTACGCATTCGGCATTGTATAACACAGATTAGTCTTTAATTGTGAAGTTAATGAACAATTAGTTTACATCTATTTTCAAAAGGGAATTCTCTGTTTAATGATTTAATGCAATTAAATAATATAATATCTTTATAAAATCGCACAACAAAATTCTTTGACATTGTAACTGAGTGTGTTGAGCTTTTCAAAATCATTTCCGAAAATTCGTAATTGCCTTGGTTGTTACTCATCATTCACATTAATATTCATCATGGCGAGATTGTGTTATATCTCGTTTTTCGAGCGACTCTAGTGTACGAATGCAGATTATCATGTATCAGTTTTATTCTTGATGTTTGCTCGTGTAACGGATGGTATAAAGAACTAATAATGCTCGCTTTGCATACAAATATTTCTTTCCTCTGCGTATGGTTGGAAGTCTGTTATAGCAATCAATATTTCATCTCATTGCAGAACATATCTGGAACTTATCCATTCCAATGTGATACTGAATTGCCTCACTCCGTATGCAGATGCTGTTGTGGTTTCGACAACTGTAATGGTCCCGGCATTGATTGCATGCAAAGTACGTAGAGAATGACTGATGTTTATTTTTGTAGAATGTAGAATTTATCGAATGCGAATGTCTCGTCTGAACATTTCCATTTAATGTGAATGCTATTGTAATCATTTCTGATTCTTGTTGTATTGGTGCACCTTTTACAATTATTGATCATTTTCATAAAAAAGTACTGTGTGCAGGAAACACAATTTCCATCTGAAGCCGGTTGTAGATGAGCACGCTGCATATCTACATTGCCTGAAGAATTAGTCCAACGTTTAAACCAGGGGTCTCCAACACGCGAGCTGCATTCGGCCCTCCAAGCATTTCTTTGCGGCCCGCGTCATGGTTTGGATTTTTCCACAAAAAACTAAAATATTACAATGTCAACTATTAGTACGGTAAGTTTTATCGTGTCATCTATCATTAAAAGTCCGACCCGAAAACTGTAAAAAGTGAAGCAAAAATTTTCGCCTGTTATTCCACTTTACCTCGTTCATGTTTGTTGTTATAATTCAATTATCAATACATTAATTTCATTTCGCATGTTCATTGTGACGAAATCAACGAGTTCCGGTCAGTCCATTGTGTCCGAAGAAAGGTTTGCAAAGATAATTGCACATTCACGTTGCATACCTGCGATGTTTGGCAGATCTTATATTTGCGAGAAATTTTTTCAACTATGAAAATTAGAAAATCAGCCCTCCGCACACGACTAACGGACGAGCATTTGCATGCTGTTTTAAGACTAGAAACCAACATTAAATAAGGCCAAACATCAAAACCATATATGCAGCACAAGTAAATGAAAGGTTTCATGTCTCGTTTGCTGTTAGATTCAAGTGTAATTTCAACATAATACATTCAGATACCCATTTTTAATTGGTTTGCGGCCCGCGTGATCAATAAATTTCAAAAAGTGGCCCGCGACATGTTTTGAGTTGGAGACCCCTGGTTTAAACCAACGTTTAACGTCCAGCAGGTTGAGAACCACTGGTCTAACCCTCAATGTGATATTTGAGTCTTGTCAATGTATTAAATAATTATTGCTGCAATATTCAAAAAAAGGACTGTGTATGTTATTTATGTTATATATGTTATTTAAAACACTAGTGCCGTAATAAAAAGTGCGCCTGTGAAAAAAGTGAATCGCCTGTCTCACTATCAAAATGTTGGGAAAATTTACTATGATTAATAATGATAGAAACGCAACAACTTCTCAATTATAATATAACATGAAAGCAAAACTTAAATATATATAAACACGAAAGTTCAATAACTAACCACAATGCCGGTAACCTACGAGACACACACTGAAATGTGTCAAAGCACCGGGTTTGCAAAATAAAAAGGGAGGATAGCCTTGGCGAATGTTGTCACGCTTGAAGTAATAAAAACGTTTTTTTCAATAATAAAAATGAAACAGCAAAATTTTGGATAAAACTTTAGATTTCATAGGATTCATAGGGATATATGGGAACAAATAGGAATAATAGCCTCTACAACAACAACAATCTTTACCCACTGAAACTTATAAAGCGATTGGTTTAGTAGTTAAAGGTGCGATATCACGGAAAAAAACATTTTTTTGATGAATTTGGTTGTATATAATTTTTTAGAATTTTTCACCTAATATTTACATAAAGTCGACTTAGTTTTATACTTATGAATTTTTAAAAACCGCTTCAACGAAAATCGACCGCGGCCTTTTATGACGTAGCAACAGTCTTCGAGGGCATAGTAATGAGAACTCGCTCCAGACGTCTGGAAATCGGAAGTCATTGGGTAGCATTTTTACGTACAATATTCTGAACGGAAGAACAGATCTATCAACGTTTTTTGTCGATGATGGCAAAAGTCAAAGACAATTCTAGTTGCGGAACCTTGATAAAAGATATTGCTCTCCATCACACCTGGTTCTGTGCGCAATGAGGCATATACAGTAATAAAAATTCAAACTGAATCTCCAGGGCGGTTGAGAACAAATCACATCAACAGTTGACATTTCAATATGCTAATATTCCCGTTACATGGTGCACACGTATTGAATAGACGCTTCCGCCATAAAGTTATGAAAAATATACTGCATTCTATTTGGATCGGAAACAGAATCTGAACCCATCATTGTCCTTGTTTTTATAATCAGTAATATCATATTTTAACTATTTATTACACTTTCTTGGTGCCTAACCATTGAGTACCTATATTCTATTGAACACCAAAATTGTACCCGATCTGAAATTGGTTAACTGGTAAACTATTCCTAGCCTTAGACATATCTATACAAAAATAGACAAATAGAACTTCATTTCTTGCTAAATCCTTACTTTCTGGTTCTTTCAATCCAATTCAAGTCTAAGTTCAACAGTTTGAGATTGTATTGTAAGAAATATCACACTTTTTATCAATAATTTTAGAAAAACCAGAATGTGAGGAACCTGAAGAACCAATAAATGGTGATGTATTTTGTCCAAGTTATCCGTTGGTTTCTGGGACCACATGCTACTACAGATGCAAGCCAGGTACCTGTTTACTCGTTTGATATTTCTTAATATAAAAGGTAGCAAAACAATAAATAACATTTACCTGTTGTTCAAGCCAGAGAGTCGTGATATTTCAACACCAAATTTAAAAATTTTCTATCAACTATGGAAAACATTTTTCCGAGGCGACATTATTTTCATTTAGAACTAAGGCATTTTCTTCTCTTTAGGTTTTTAATACGTACATTTGAATATACTGTTTCTTATGATGTAAATTCAGGAACAGTATAAACAAACAAGATAATCCATCTTTCAAAAGCTTTATTCACTTGCTCACTATGTCATTTCAGGATTCCAGCTTGAAGGTAGCACTTCAACAACTTGTGAAGTTGCAACGACGGTAGCGGCGTGGTCTAATGGGCCACCATCATGTGTAGGCAAGTTTAATTAAATAATTTATTATAATATTCTAAAATTTATTTTTTGACAATGAAATATTTGTAATTGTTTTAATCATTTTGTTCAGTTTTTCATTAATGTTGTTGCAAATCCATTAATAAAGTTCATTTGTAATGAGGTTCAAATGAAATGCTATAGTTTAAAGAACGCATATTCGTGGAAGAACACAATACATGTAACAGGAATAATTTTATAATAATGAACACAAATATGCTACTTGAACTTGAAAAATCCACAGTAAAGAACGATATCAGGACGATAACAATGACACTTGATTTTATAAAAGTTTATTTTTTCAATGAAGTGATAAATAAAGAACAAAATTAAATAGGAATTTAAAAAGAGAATTAGGTTCAAATTAAGCTTCATCTGTAGAAAATTTACATATCATACTAATTATAAATATAAAAAGGCTTCATTCATCTGATACAGAAAAAACGATCAGTCTGCTAACAAATAAAAAGTTTTTGCTAATTTTTAATCAATTGTGAATCAATTTCTTTTAAATATTTCTGAAGTATGAATATTAATTAAGCTTCGTAATCATAATAGCATGAAATTTTAGTTCACGAAAACTTGTTTGTGAATGAGTTTCTCATTTGCTGGGAAAATGTAATTGATATGTTATTTATTCCAGTTAATTTTACATTGTTCCAGTGTATGACACTCATGACCCATGACACTTTAAAATTCGCAAAAATCCCACAGGAACATAGGGGACAGACTTCCCTTAAGTTGATCGATACTTGGATATTTAGGTATAGTGATAGTTTTATCAAAGCATCTCCGTTTAATGCAGAATTTCAATGGCTCAAATGTATGTCTTTCTCTCAGACTCCAGACATATTTTATTGTAGATTCACATACTATTTTTGAATTCTCACAGCTGTATTTGACATCAATGTTTTTTTATTAACAGTCAGGCCCTGTAGACCGCTCATTGCACCGGAGTCCGGAAGCTTCGATTGCAGCGATGAATGGGATATTGGAAGTGAATGTGAATTCGAATGCGAACAAGGAAGGGTTCTCGTAGGGCGAAAACTTCTTAAATGCTGTAAGAAATACAGTTTAAAGAATTTGAGTTCATAGTTTTAGTAAAATGGAAAATATTCGATTGAAAAGTGCAAATATTAGGTGAACTCGTTCATTATAGGAGATTATTATTTCAGAGACTTATCAGCAGTTTTCATCCTAATCTGGATAGAATATGGCAAATAGCCAGAACGAACACAAATATGATCCTGATAGTACTCTTACTATAACTTTTGAACAGTTCTTCTAACCCCCTTACCCTACTGCATTGCCAGCTGGCTTAGTGATTACGATTTGGCAAAAACAACTTGCAACAGGGTTGAACTAGTATAAGATTAGTAATTATACGTAATAATAATTAGTAATACATGATACGAAATTATGACTTCCAGCACATTTGTCGATATGGGATCACAAGGAACCAACGTGTGAGCTTGTTACTTGCTTTCCTCCAAGGCCTCTCGATCCAAACCTGCTCCCCGCTGAACCTAGCTGTACAGACCGGTATAATTATGAAAGTGTTTGCAAGTGAGTGTCGAAGTATTTAGATTTGTACCAGTAAATCAATCTTTAATTGAACATACGCAATGGTTTTTGGCTACAATGAATGGATAGTAAGGTATTGATCACATCGTGGCATATATTGGTAAATTTAACAATATTTTCGTCAGAATGGAACAGTGTATATATCATACTAAGAAAAATGAGGTGAAAATGAAAAATTTCGCTTCAATGATGATACATTTTGTACACTTTATATAGGTGTCATTTGATTGAAAGCCGACTTTTCAAGTCATCAATTTTACAAGACGTTACTTTTTATATTCTAAATCAGTTCGTTTCATTTATTTTTGTTTATATTCATTCTAACCCCAATCATGAACGTACCGAATGGAATCTCGTACATAAGGAAACGTTATGTTTTAAATCAAATAGTCGCGTTTCAAACTGCTGTATTGAGCAACAGCGTTCATACTGCTAATTATGCTTAATATTAAATTTTTCCAGTTTCTCTTGTCACCCTGACTACGATCTCATTGGAGCAGACCAATTGATCTGTGGACCACCAATTGGGTCCAACAATAAGGCTAGTTGGGATAATCAAACTCCAAGGTGTCAAAGTATGTAGAAGAAGAATTAATTTAATAGTTTGGATATAGTCTAGTTCGGGATTTTATCATGTGAACTTTTGGTTTGGTATTGGTACGAACTAGATTGTACACAAAAGATACAACGTTACAAAAGGTACAGTGCCGATTCCCTGTTTAAAATGAAATATCAAAAGATGTCATGACAATTATTCAAGCTAGCGAACTTTAACTTGGTGCAAAGTGGTAATTCGAATTTTGAGTAATTTACAATCAAAAGATAGAACATTTTTAAACACATTTATTCAATCCTAAGCGTTCACATAAAACCAAACGATACGTCCCGGCAAATAGTATTTGGCGTTCTGACGAGATTCGAGACGGTGGTATGGAGCTGTTGCATGATTTCAAAATAAATCGGGTGCTCTGTTAGCTAATTGGTTATGGTTGAGACGTTCCAGAAAGCAGTGATGACTTAAACAAGATTTCCGAAAAACTCGAAAACTAGGGGAAATTCTTAAACTCTACATAAATACGTCAACAGCTTCAACATAGAATGATGATGCAAGTCGGATCGAGATTTGGAGATCCGATTTTGGACTGTACCAAAATAAACCTTCTAATCATATCCGTGATTTATCCATATATAACATTGGTTATTTCGTATTAATATAGATACAGTGTTCTAGGTAACCTTTTAGATATATAATGCAAAAGTTAAATACTGCAATATAATAAATATTAATGAAGTTACCTGGCGTGTTTATTGCATACAAATTATTAAAAAAATCGATGTGCCCATAAACCTTCAACGTCGCGACAAATTCACTTTCTCACAAAAGTTTTGGAGTATCAACTTGAAATTTTGCCGATTTAATGTATTTGGTGAATCTTTGTAATTTGAAATTTTTTAAAAATTTAAAATGATCTTAACATAATGGTATCAATTGCAAAACAGGCAATTTTATTACACATATTCTATTTACTTGTAGTCAAGAAATGTCTTCCCAACTATCCTGGATGTTCGGAAAAGGTAGTTGGAGACGAATGTTCATTCAGTTGTGAAGAATGTAACAGATTAGAAGGAAATGGCAATATCACTTGCACCAGAGATGGATGGACTGGAGTTCCAGGAACTTGCGTGCTAATCACCTGTAACTCAAGACCAAGGTAGTAAAGGACTATGCAATTATTACATTGGAATATTGGTTGAGGCAATGAGTCAAATTTTTTAATTACTAGACGAAAATTTCTTATACTTGCCATTTCATGTTTAGTTTCACAAAACAAAAATACTCGGGATTTCACTTCTTTTGGAAAAACTACTAAAATACCGAATTTAATTAGCCTCGAAACAATTTACGAAATTGGAAAAATTAGAATGTTTATTTCCTATGTAATCATATTAATCAATTTTACAGCGCACCAGAAAATGGATTCATCGAATGTAGTGAAATTAATAACAATTGCGGAAACGACTGCGATATTTCATGTTTTAGTGGTTTCAAATTAGTCGGATCCAGCAATATTGTTTGTCAGGAGAATGGAGAATGGAGTGGTGGCACTATCCCAGCGGTGTGCGAACGTAAGTTTGAAGCATAGACTAGACTACATCGAAAACATATTTAGAGTAGCATATTGTAGCAGTCGAGAACTCGATTTCAACAGAAAATTTGACATAAAAATCTTACCCTACTGGATATTATCACAATACACGATAGCAACGTACACAATGATAATTATATTTCTGTTTGTCTAGCTAGGGCATTGCTCTGAGCGAAGGTATAAAACCCTTTATGAAAAATGTGTCATGAATTGCGGGCAGCGAAATGAAAGTTTTTACAAGTGTGGTACCATACTTCACTCTTCGCTATATCTATGTCAATAAGCTCGTTTCCGCTAATTTAGTGCATTAATAAAATTAAATCGTAGAACGCCTTAAGCTTCAAATTTTTCACTCAATGCTTGATATAAAACAATTAGTCGATGTGTGTGTGATTCTCATATACATTGCACCCATCGCTATTAAAAATTTTAGTTGCCGTTCACCCTCCGCCGTTGTACATATATATTTACCTACGAATTTATGCTCAGGTTTATTTTGAGCCCTATCAAATAATTCCGAGACATAGAGAGCATGAATATGTATCGTTGCGTGTAAGGTTACGTCCACCGTAAAGTGCACGCACGATTTAAGTCAACCACCTGCATATTTTGGCGGTCAGAAGCGGCAATGATATATGCCGAAATTGATGGGTCATAGCCTCTAGAAGAATTTTTGACACTACCATATTAAACAAATATTACAGTGCGATATTTTTACGCAACCAGGAAAATTACATATCAGCCGCTTAAAACAGGTCCCATATAAAAGAGAAATAACCGGCAAAAAGAGGTCGTCATAAAATTATATAGGAGTTTATAGGCGTATTTACGAATACCTCTAAACGACGAAACATTCCACATGGCGGGGAAAAGAATGTATGCTAACAAAGATAAATATATACGTTATTCGGTTTGCAGCTGACATCACTGACTATAACAACACGCATTCGACAAGTATTATTTCTGTGTAATTTTTCATTCAACATTAATATTTATGAATTATCATAACATGTAACGTTGCTGCTGTGCAAATCGCTCAGATTGGGTCCAATAAAACTTCGTGGTTGATACATTACAATTGTTGATCACCACATGTATATTCTCAATAAATGTATTGCTGCAGCTGATGATAGGTACCTATCGATTAAATTAGTGAATATTTTTCTAACATGTATAACAGAAACGGGCTTGTATAAAAGGGATTGTTAGCGCCACCGAAGCAAATACCAGAATAAATCTTTGGATCAAGAAATTGAGCATTGTAGACGTGTTATTTTTCAAAATATGTATTTTTGTTTATACCAACATTTTGTTTATTACATCTAAATGTGATCAGTGTACACAAAAAGTGGTTAGAGCCTGATATACGCAACAAAATTTTATTTAGTCTAATCCCACAGTCTAGTTTCATACCAAACTAATATTTTAATTTTTAATAGTTTAATTTTTTTGATAGCTGACGAATGTGACCCCATCAATGTTCCGGGTATCATAGCCACCTGTCCCAACGGCAGAACCGTTGGAGATTCTTGTACTCTTCGCTGCGCTGGTGCCAATAAAGAATTTATTGGAACACAAACTGTCACTTGTGAGAAACAGCTTGCTGGCAAACCAGACTGGGGACCGAATCTTAATCAGTATTGTCGAGGTATTTATTTTCATGCATGTAACGTAACTTTCATGTGATAAATCTAAGTTACAAATTGTTGCATAAAATACCCCATACCCGTAAATAGGTAATTGGAAATTTAACTGTCAAAATTTCGTCTAAAACTAAACTAATCCGTCACATTATTATTTATTTAATATTTAAATGAATATTTAACGAATAATTTTGTTAATATTAAGTTTTCAAGTTGTAAGCGATTGTCATGTTCAAGCACTGCATTCCAGTTGATCTTATAACAAAACTTTGACTTTAGATATAGCAGTATGTTACCTTTCCATCAAATGTTTTCATGAACATATATGTTTTTTCCACATCGCTTTGCTGCATGCTGTCAAATAAACTAGTGGAAACCAGGCGTGCCTCTGGAAAAATACATAGACGATTTTGCAACCCTGTAATTTATTTTTCTGCTGTCCAATGAAAATATTTTGAGGGTGAAAGAGTTATCTCTTGCCTGTTCTAACCAAAAATATGTTTCTTCAGATATTCTCTGTTCGAACTTTCCTCGTCTGAATGAGCGGCCACGCTCAGACGTAGGATCACTAACGTGTAATCCTCTTGCAAATCGAGTAGAAAGTGACAGGGACGGACGAGAAGGATGGAAAGTTACTACACAGTGCGAAATAAGTTGTAACGATAACTATCAGGCACGCCAACTGGTGAATTCAAGCACGTGTAACGATGAAGGCCGCTGGACAGTCGGTCAATTATGTTGCGTGGGTACGTCACATTTGTGTGCAGTGAGAGTTGCTCCAAGTTTCACTTGTTTATCGATCTGTTTGTTTCAGCTTGCCTATTAGAAGTTACTTAAGTGCTGTCACAAGATAACTCTGTAAACATTATTGTAAACAAATGACATTATTGGGTTCTCGTGGTGTATTCTTCGCCACCCTGACAAGCAAACCCTGTTAATTCTGCTAAATTATTTGGGTTCATATTCACAGTTGCTACTCAACTATAATATTATCATTACTTCAACTGGGACTCATAGAGCATAGCATAATTTTCGATAGCCATCAATCAATTATCGAAATATAATAAACTGCACTTCTAATGACAGCATGTAAGTATTGCCGATCGCATATGATTGCGACATTTTGCAACTCAGGCATTTATACTTATACAATATTATTTACTTTGAATTGAACGTGAAAATATAGCTTGGTATCTACGGACATTCTTAATGAGTATTTACCATAGTAAAAATGCTTTTAAGAATGAGGAGACTTCATATGCAAATATTTTGTTTACTTAGAATGTGTACAAAACACTGCGCTCGACGTTGTTGTTCTTATGGATAAGACTGAAATTACGTCAAGCAATGGAGAAAATTTATGGAACATAAGGATGGATTTCTTAGCCAATTTTCTTGAGTAAGTTGGAATTTACTTGGACGTGTACTTTTAATTGTATATAAAGAAAGATCTACATTAACAGTATTTCTCGAGCGTAGGGTTAGCATTTCCTGATTTTCTTATTATTCTCTGGTGGTCTAGCAAGAATGCATAAAAGGATCTTGATGACAGTACAGCAAGGTTGCAAGAAATTACAACATCCGTGAACTTGCTCATCAATATTCGACTTTTCATAAATCTTTTAATCACAATTAAATGCAATTTTTATTTCAGTTTCATCGTTTTTGAATACGGATTTAATTTGAATATAACGTTTGTTCCTTATTCAAATGATGTCGACTTAGCCAACTCCATTGATTTCATGACCATTGACGACTTCGACTTTCCAGTTGATGACGCATTAAGGGAACGTTTGAAAGATATTCCGGTTGGGCCATCAACAGGTAAAAAAATAGACTTGATTTGATTAAAAAATCTAAATAAATATAATTATTGAAAGAGTAACCGCTGTGTCATGTAGTGATTTTCCGACTTATTTATGTTAAAATGGGTATGTACTATTTTTTAAATTTAAACAAATTTATTTATTAGATCCAAGTTGACTTTTTTTTACCTTTTAAACGGAGAATATTGGAAAAACATTATTAAATTAAAAATCTAGCTTGGCTTGACGAAGAGAGCTTGGTTATACCAGTTATTTGCCGTTCAAGTCAGCTATAGTTTATATCGGTAATATCTTGTTTACAGCGGCTATTACTTAGCTATATCTTATCGACCATTATTTATAACAATTACTTATAACAATTTATTTATATATTTATATTACAACAATTATTTATAAAAATTCCAAGACAAAACTAGACATAGCGCATTTTGCTAGAAACTACTGTCTGAAAGGACCATTAAATGATAGCTTGTGCAGTCAAACTATTCATGCCTCGGAATAACAGTATACGTTCAAGTTTACTTTTCGTGGTGTATTAATATAAACAGATTCTTCAAATGCCGGTTTGGCGATGAAGTATGTTGCAGATGAGATTTTTGGATTTCATAACTTCCGTGTTCCAATGATATTTCTTCTCACGACCAGACCACCAAGCGACCTATCTCTTGCTAGATCCGTGAGCCGGGACTTACAAGACAGAAATATCCACGTGCGTAAACTACTTCTATCGTTACTTGCATCAAAATGAGATATATACATTTAAATGCAAATCTACAGATGTAGGTGTTCCTAAAAAACGGGGCTTTGTACAAAAGATTCCTTTTTTCTTTGTTAGTTGACTGGATTAGTGTCTTTTTTGGGGCGGGGGCTATATTCAAAAGATTTGAGAAAAGATATGTTATAAAACGAACGGTAATTGTTGTTCATTGATAAGTCATGTTAAATTTGGGATGACAGGTGTTGATAGCCACGTCTTAATTACGGAAGATTTGATTTAAATGTAAAGGTAAATTGATTTTATTCTAAATACCATTTTCTATTCAGGTGAGAATTTTTCCAATCGTAGACTCATTCAAATCAGATCCAGGAATAAATGAGAGAGTTTTTGAGTCTTTGACTGAGAATCCGAAATACGTGATTGACGCTGAAGGATCCATTGATACAGAAACCAATTTTTATATTAGTGCTTCGGAAGAGTTGATTACGGTTACAATCAAACTGTGCAACGAAAGAGCACAGGCTCTACAACCTTGCCTTTTCCAGAGACTCTAGTTTATGTTAACTGCAGTTCAAATCTGATGCGAGGACGTTACATAATATTATATACTTTCTATAATCCGTGGTAATCGTATAATTTTAATACATTTACAGTCAGCAATTTATTAGAGCCTAAAATTTATCATAAACATTCTTTTCATCTGTTAGAATATGGAAGTATTGGGCTATCTACTCACCTTTATCACTTATATTTTTTGTCATTTGGGATATTTTTTGGTGATCTGGGTTGTTTTCTTTTTCGAATCTGGCTGTTGAAATGTTAAAATAAAACAGTAATGATCAATAGCTAAAACCTTGAACATTTGTAAATTAATTCAAATCTGAAGACATTTGTTAAAATTTAACTTGAGATTTCAAATTGACTAATCAAATATTGAAAACGTTGAATACTCTGTGGTGTAATTCAAATTTATAGTAAAGTTTAGTTGGTGTTATGCATTAAAATACATGAACATGCTAAGTTCTCTTAACATCTGAGTCGTTGTATATATAGGCGATCAGCTTTTTGATGTCTGTTGGATAGGATAGGATTTACATATTTATCCCGGGGGAGAGGAAAGCCGATAGGACGGCTTATCCATATGGCGAACCACGGCCTCTCGTCCGGTTACCATTCCAAGTCGGGTATGGGATTAGTTTTACTGTATTGTTTGTTTTTTCGGAAGCATGGACTTGGTGGTGGAGGAAGCCGTAACCGACCAGCGGTTACGTGAACCACCCAACGACGGCGAGGAGTCCAGCAATTCTCTCGCACATAATCATCCCTGCATGAGATTCGAACCTGCGAACCCACGCAGAGTAATTAGAGGTGCGGTGGCGAGCGTATTCCTAACGATTGTTGATTAAAGCGACATACATTTTTCCATTCTTTTTAACATAAACTAGGGTTCCTTCAGGCAATTACATCATGAAGTTATAATTAAAAGCAAACCTTATAAGTAATCCTATTTAAATCAAACTTGTATATATATTTATTGTTGGCAATAGGTATATATATACGTTTGTTGTAAAAAAATTTACATTAATTTGTATGTCGGAAAAAATGGCAAACTTTCAAAGTTTCTGTTACCCCATATCATATAAGATAGTATTATTTTGTTGTTGTTACTACCTTTAACATATTTTTGAAATATACTTTTACATAATTTTCGAAAAATAAAATACCAAATTATTTATCCGAACATACGACGCTATCATCAATTAGTTGCTTCACCTGTTGGTGGACCAATCAGAATATCATTCAAACGTCCCATCAACAGAAAATTACAGGTCGTTAATGATTATGAAATCAATGGAGTTTGCTAAGTCGACATCATTTGAGTAAGGAACAATCGTTATATTCAAGTTTATTCCGTATACAAATACGATGAAACTGAAATAATAATTACAGTTAATTGTTATTTAAAGATTTTTGAAAATTCGAATATAGATGAGCAATTAATTTCTTGCAACATTGTCTTCACGATCCTTTTATACATTCTTGCTCGACCACCATGAAAGAATATTAAAAAACTCAGAGGATGATAACCCTATGCTCTAAAAACACTGTCAATGTATAGATCTTTTTTTAGATATAATTCCAGTAAACGTTAAAGTGAATTCCAACTTACTCAAGAAAATTGGCTGAAAAAAACATTCTTGTATTCCACAAATTTCAGGCCTTATCCACACGTTCAACGACATCGAGCGCAGTTTTTGTACAGATTCTAAGTAAACAAAGTATATGCATATGTAGTCTCCTCGCGCTTATAGCCTCCTTACTATGTTACAGCCTCATTTTAAGAATGTCCGTAGATATCAGACTATTCAGATCAGCACGTTCAATTCAAACAAAATACTATTGTATAAGGATAAACTGCACGGAGTTACCAAAATGTCGCAATTATATACGATCGGCAATACTTACGTGCTGTCATTAGGAGTGGAGTTTATTAAATTTCGATGATTGAAATACGGCGATTGAAAATTATGCTATGCACTATGAGTCCTAGTTGATGTAATAATATTAAAAAAGAACTGAGGTTTGAGTTGTTGGAGTCCTGTTTCATTTAATCCTTTATTCAAAATGAACCTTAGAAATTAGATAGTCTGAGTTGAATTAGAAATAAATATTAGCCTATGTGTCCCGACCCAAAATTGGGTCGCCTGGAAATTTTTTTGGCTCGCTCGATTTTCCAACAAAAACCTAAAAGTTCTAATTCTATTTTCTAGTGAATTTTATCGTTTATTTTATATTTGGTATGGAAGTGTTGCCCAATAGTGATTGCACATGTGAGAAGTATCACTACATAATAACTTGGCGGTTATAATTTTGCTTCAATAAAACCACGCCACGATTCCAAACACTCGCTGATGGCAAACACGCGTAGTTTTGAATGTCTGGGGAAATAAATATTGAGAACAATGATTTGTTTTATATTAGTCATTTAATTTTGCCAGTTGCAAGATCTTATAAACTTTTTTTTTTAAATTTGGGTTGCATGAAAAAGAGGTTGGGAACTACTGGCCTAGAAAACGCCACAAGCAATTAGGATCGATAAACAAGTGAAACTTTGAACAATTTTCACTCTACACAAATTTGAACATACCCACACAACATAATTAAACAACTGTCCAGCGACCTTCACGTGCTTAAATTCACCAGTTGACGTGTCCGATAATTATCGTTACTTATTTCGCATTGTGCAGTACCTTTCCATCCTTTTCGTTCGTTCCTGTCACTTTCAACTCGATTTGCAGGTGGATTAGACGTTAGTGATCCTACTTATGAGCGTAGCCGCCCTTTCAGACGAGGAAAGAGCGGCTTCAAACAAAGAATATCTGAAGAAACATATTTTTTGGTCAGAAGAAGCGAGAGATAACTCTTGCTCTCTCAAAATATTTTATTGGACAGCAGGAAAATAAATTACAGAGTATGTTAAACAACATAAATAGAAAACATGTTGTAAAATCGTATATGTATTTTTTCGGAGGCACGCCTGATTTCCCCTAGTGTATTTGACAGCATGCAGCGAAGCGTTGTAAAAAAACATAAATGTTCATGAGAAATTTGATTAAAAGGTAACATACTGCCCCTAACATAAGCCCGTTTCTGCCATACATTAGAAAGATATTCACTTTAATCGATAGGGACCTATCGATTGGGTCGCTTATAGCATAGGTTCTCAAAGTGCTCCGTACGGAGCCCCAGGGCTCCGCGAGAGAAACCCAGGGGCTCCGCGAGCTATTCGATTACTTTTCAAAATACTGACTAGTTTTGTAACTGTTCTAATAAGAAGCAATAACAGCTTTGATAAAATCTGACAATAAAATAGCCTCGAAATATGGCAAAGAGGCGGAATTAAAAAATGACATTATTTATAAGCATGAGCGCAACCAGGATTCATAAGAGGGAGGTGGTTCAAAATTGAAATCGGAAATTTCCGCGCAACATTCTTCACGATTAAAAAAACGGATAACGAAATTTCTATTGCGTAAAATATTTAATCCATGACCGATGCGAGCATTTAACGAACAATTGAAATGTATTTTATTGCGTGCGGCTCCGTCGGTAGTTTCATAATGGGGGAAAAGGTACATCGCGCGCACAATTGACTTTGTTTCGATTTCGCAGTTACTACGATGAAAACCTAACATAACACCAAATTTTGTGATTTACAATGTCTATAAAAACGTTTTCAATCTGAGGTGAGTCTGCTGAAACCAAACCTGTGATCTTCCATTTTAAGTTTCTGTTTTAATATTTTAGAATGCCACTTTTCAATCAAGAAATTTGAGTTGCGGATTTACCTCTTTATTAATTATTATTTTTAGCATTTCGTCACCTATGACTATTATATGGTAACATGTTTTTCACATTGACCTCATAATTCCCCACGAGAAGAAAAAAGGAAATAACGTCGTCATTGTGTAACAATACATGTATATATATGCCAAGGGAAATTTTTGATTTAGGGAGAACAGGCCATGCTGACGAAAAAAATCGGCGATTGTAACAAAATGCAACCGCGCACGTTATTAGCGCCTTTTAAGTCTTCCAAAAATGTCAAAAGGAAAAGATTCGACCCCTTATTTATTAATATGTTTGTCAAGTGACAAATTTACAGCTTTAGTGTATTTAGTGTATATAATTTTCTTTATTTAGTGTATAATTTATGTTTGAAATTTAGATTTATGTATGACTTGTATTAACCCTAAGGTTCAGCATTTAAATTAAGTAAAGTACTTTTAACTTGCTCAGTAATATTATTCTGAAAGTAACATTTTTAACATTTATTTTGGGGCTCCGTGAATAATAGTCAACCTTTTCAAGGGCTCCGCAACACCAAAAGTTTGAAAACCCCTGGCTTATAGGAATCCTGCTTAACCAAATATAGCAGAACCCAATCAGAATACTAATAGATCAAATCGAAAAGACATCGAGACTGCTGTGCCCATCCATGCTCCCCACATTTCCAATTCCTATCCTAACGTATACCCCACTCTTTCTTCTTAATTTTTTGCCTCTCTTGGTGATTTATGTTAGTTTTTATTCGTGTTTTCATAAATTTTGTTTCTGTATTCAAATGTATATGTACTTAAAAAAAATAAATGCATAAAAAAAATTATCTAATTTTTCGTTTATACAATATGTCTTTATATTTTCGTCAATGATAATGTAACAACATCTTAAAATATCGTAACAGACAATACAAATTTGTTTTACTATATTTGCAGTAGACTAGATTTTTAATGTTTTTGCATGTTTTTTAAACTTTGCAATTTTTTTCTTGCTTCGAAATTTTCAATGTTTTAATTTTATTTTTAGAGCTTATAGGCACGATAATTGTGTCTAAAACCCCAAAAATCCAGTCCTAAAAAAGGGAGTATTTAAACCTAAACAGAGCAGACATCTGCACTTCATTAGCCAATTTACATATGATATTCGATACATAGCTGGATTATCAAACATAGTAGCAGATGCGTTATCAAGGTCTACAATAGCAGCAATCTTTGATCTTTTTCCTTCTCTTTCTCTTGCTTCACTCGCTCAGAAACAGAACCAGGATCCAGAGATACAAGCATTACTGACTAACCAAATGAGTCTACAATTAGATTTTTTGGATATTTCGGGACCAGGTTTAAATTCGATTTGTGTAGTACACACGAGTACACACTGGGACGTTCCTATTTCAGAGCAATCCTAATTGATTTAAATAAACAACTAGCAAAATGCCACGTAAAAGGAAAAGAAAAACCTCCATAGGACAGAATGATCCATTGGTAATGAAGAGAGCAGCGGAGCTGGTGATTCATGAAGGCAAAAAACTGCGTACAACTGCAAGAGAAAATGCCATTCCCAAAACAACCCTATCAAGGTACGTCAAAAAACTGAAGTTTATGTCAGAAAGTTCTGTGTCCGACTCAGCGCCCTCAGATAGCCTCGAGTATTTTTGTCCTAACTACACGGTAAGAAGAATATTTTCGGATGAGGAAGA